TATGATATCAGCCAGAGGTAAATAAAACTCTTTTGCCAAACAGAACTGAGTGTTCTTTTTTTTTTTAATAATTTTATTTATTTATTTATTTTCCCCCCAAAGCCCCAGTAGATAGTTGTATGTCATAGTTGCACATCCTTCTAGTTGCTGTATGTGGGACGCAGCCCCAACATGGCTGGAGAAGCAGTACGTTGGTGCGCGCCCGGGATCCGAACCCGGGCCGCCAGCAGCAGAGCGCGCACACTTAACCACTAAGCCACGGGGCCGGCCCTAAAAGTTTTATTTAAATGGTGACATAATGTATGTGTCCCCTCCTGCAAGTTGCTCTTTTGCTCAACATTATGTTTTTGCAGTTCATTCATGTTGATACGTGTAGATGTAGTTCATTCATTTTCACTGGAGTGTAGTGATCCATTATGTGAGTACACCCAGATTTATCTATCTGTTCTTCTGTCGGTGGGCATTTTTCACGATTACAAATCACACTGCGGTGAACACTCTTGTGTGTTTCCTGGCGTGTGTGCATGAGAGTTTCTCCACGGCACACGCCTAGGACGTTAGGCTCTGCACACTCCAGCTTCACTAGATGTAAAGGCAAGATCATGCCTTTCTAATCTTCAGGAGGCCTTGCCTTTTCAGACAAGGCCAAGTATTTATGGGACACCCACGCCCAGACGTGGGGCTTAGACAGCAGAGATCCCGGGACATGGCTAGGAAGCCGGAGGTCCCTTCTCTAGTGCTGAGATGGCGAAGACAATGCAAGCAGGGCCCTGTCTGTAAGGCCAGCCCCCGGGCCCTTGTGACTGCTCTGTCCTGAGCCATTGGCTCCCACTTCCCCCTACCCGCCACCCCACTCTCGATAGAATTTCCTTTGTGCTCCAAGGGGGCTGACTTCTCCTGAGGTTAGAGTTTCTCCCTTTTCCCACTCAGAATTTCAAGGACTCAGGGAAATAGCCCATTCCGAGAGGGAGGAAATTCACGGTGTTCCCACCTCAGGACCCTTGGCTGCAGGGGAATAACAGGGTCCCTTTGGAATTGTTACGTGTTCTCAAAATCAAGATTGCAAACTGGCTGTCTGGATCCCAAATCCAGCCTATGGATGAGTTTTGTTTGGTCTGAAAATGTTGAGCCAGCATTTTAAAATTAGGCTTTTACACAAAAATACGATTTCCTGCCTTTTTTAATAATAGGCTTGATGTACTCAGGCCACATTCCCGAATGGCAGCAGTTGTCCAGTGCCCGTAGCACCTGCTCCCTTTGACAGAGCATGTGTTCTCTAGAGTGCCGCAGTCCTCACCACTCCCTGTTGGTCTCCCTTGGCCCACTGCGCTCATTTACATTTATTCTCCAATCATTTGACATCTGCGTTTGGGACCTCTGCTCTAACCCTCTTCAATCTGTTTTCCACCACCTTCTAGGTTTCTACTTGTTCTCCCCTAATCCTTCAGATCCTGTAAGTAATCAACATGTTTGTCTGTTCTTTTGTTTGTGTGAGGCCTTTCCCCTCAGACAGGGTGGCTGCACCGACCTCCTGGCCATGTTAGGAAGAGACGCCATGCCTGGTTTCTCATCATAGCTTATGGCGCCTGAAAGTCCCCGTCACCCAGACTTGAGCCGTTTCCTTCCTTAAGTGCTGAGAGGGTCCCCTTTCCTGTCCTTGAGAGGGGTGTTTGCAGGGTCAGATCTGGAACGCTGTAACTTTTTGGCAGAGGAGCAGGGGAGGAGAGCCAGGGTAACAGTACAGACATGTGATTCCCTGGGAGAGGAGGCCCAAAGTCAGTGCCTGCTTCTGCCAGCAGCGTGGAGCTCAGGAGGGCAGAGGCTCGTTCCTCTGCCATCCCTCAGGGATGCCTCGGGCGGAGGAACAGTTGGGAGGCACGGGAGGCGGAAGGGCCGGGCGCTCCAGGTGGCCCCTCGCAGCCTGTTCCTGGCTGTGTGTGCCCTCGGACTGGCGCCAGTAGTTCTTCTGCCTTCCTTCCCCGCACAGTACTTCAGCACCCTGGAGAACAGCATCGTCAGTCTGTTTGTGCTTCTGACCACGGCCAAGTAAGTTTGAGCTCTGCTTTGGATTTGCCCTCTGCTAGTGCCCAGGGTCCTCTCCTCTTTTCAGCCAAGAATGTTCCACATCTCAGTCCAGACAGGTGCTCAGGGGACTGGAGGGGTGGAAGTGGCCTGGTGAACTCAAAGCCATGAACTGAGAGTGGGGGAAGAGGGGATGGGGTTGGGGGCAGAAGAGAGGGATGTCCTTAGAGAAGATGGAGACAGGCAGACGCGGGCCTGCGGGTAACGCTCTGCCGATGCAGTTTCCCAGATGTGATGATGCCCTCCTACTCCCGGAACCCCTGGTCCTGTGTCTTCTTCATCGTGTACCTCTCCATCGAGCTGTACTTCATCATGAACCTGGTGAGTGACCTGGCCTTGCGCTCTGCTGGAGCGGCCTGTCCAGCCGGCACAGTGCTGGGCACTGTGGGAATGGAGAAGGAGGGACCGCTGTTGGCCTCCGAGGGCAGAACGTTGGGGAGGGATGTCGCAGACAGTAGTCAAGGGTGGTGTGGCAGGGGCCGCCCCGTTGGGACTGGAGTTCAGCTGGTTACCCGCGGTAGCCACCTCCCTGGGTTAGCACTGCTGCTTCTCCCGATAGTGCTAGAGACTGAGCCAGGACTACGCCGGTCCCTTCTCATTCTCGCAGCAGACGTGTATCATAACAGCTGTAAAAGTGGGCACTTAGCAAGCCTTAGCCAGGCACCACACAAAGTGCTTTATGTAAGGGGATTAAATGATGTCACGCAAAAACCCTGGAAGGACTGTTACGATTCTCAATTTATAGATGAGGGAACTGAGGATCAGATGGATCGAGTGACTTGCCCACGGCTGCACAGCTGGGGTTGCCAGGCGGGCTGGTCTGATTCCAGGGCGCTGTTCCCCCTGTGCCGGGAACGTCTTGTGCATTTCCACCCCATTTATCACGAATAGTCAGAAACTCCAGTACAGAACACATTCCGTTAGGGGAATTGTAAAGTCTCCTACACACTGGGAACTTTGGGGGTGTTTGAGGAGGCTCAGCTCTCACCAGGAATGTTCCTGCCATCAGCAGATCGCCTCCGAGACTAGGCTGTGAGGCTGGTGCCCAGACCACACGTCAGTGCCAGAATGATCAGGGAGAAGCTTGTATCAAGTCCTCTTTGTTTTCTACTTCTGAGGAGCATTCTCACACCAGTCAGGCCCAGTATAGAAACGGAAAACACTCTCCAGAGTAGACTTGGGAAATCGAGAAATTTGAAGTCTCAAAAAGGAAAGTATTTTCTTTTTTTAATTCCTCAAAACCAAAAAAAAAAAAATGTTGGCGATCTCTTTATACACATTACAATTCGTCTGTACTGTTGTTAGTTTAGAATCATAAAAATATATTACGTGTAATTGATTTGCTTTCATTTGTAATATCTTTAGAGCTGTGAAAATCTACGGCATGGGTCGGCAAACTGCAGCCCACTGGCCAAAGCCGGCCCACCGCCTGTTTTTGTAAATAAAGTTTTATTGGCACACAGCCATGCCCATTTGTTTATGCATCATCTGTGGCTGATTTCATGCTACTACCGCAGGGCTGAATAGTTTCGACAAAGACCATCTGGCCTTCAGAGCCTAAAATATTTGCTGTCTGGCTCTCTAGGGAAAAAGTTTGTTGACCCTCCCTTAATATAAAGGGAAAAAAACAGAGGACCAGTTTGAAGCAGTAGAAAGGACAGAGTTTCCCTGGAAATATTTTTGAAAGAACAAGTGTTTCCAAAAAGGCTTCTTTCAAATTCTGCTCCCGCCTTCCTATCGCCCTTTGATAATGCAGACTGTGTTGTTACTATGCTAACTTTGGAATTAGGCAGTTCCAGAAGGTTGTGCCCTGCAGGGTAGGCTTCCTCATTTCCCTGATTTCAGGGCCATGCGTGAAGCTGTGACTCACCAGGAGAGGGAATGAGGGGAGGGGAAGGGAAGAAGCATCCGGCACAATGATGTTCCTTCCTGCTCTGAGGTTGGGAGGGCACAGGATGGAGACACTGTGGCCCTGGCCATTGCACTGAGCTGAACTGGGCGTGGAACCCAGCGTGTTCCTCTCGCTGCTTCCTTCTCCCCCAATAAAACTGCCAGCTGGGGACGAGCTGTAGGTGGAGAGAAGAACCTGGGGCAAATGTATTAACGGTGTCTTCTCGTATCTGAAGAGAGAAAATTCACCAGTGGCCGTGAACAGCCTTCCTCTGTGAGACTGAAGACAAACTTTCTATACTGCGAGGGGCAGGAGGGAGGGTCTTCACAAGCCCCACTTCTCCGGTGGCTGGTAGAGCGCCCTCTGGAGGCAGAGGACAACTCCCTGACTCCTTGAGGCCCCGCGGTGCAGGGAAGCCAGGTCCCTATGCTTTTCCCTCACAGCTTCTGGCCGTGGTGTTCGACACCTTCAATGACATCGAGAAACGCAAGTTCAAGTCTTTGCTGCTGCATAAGCGGACTGCTATCCAGCATGCCTACCGCCTGCTTGTCAGCCAGCGGGTAGGGACGAGGAGAGGCTGGGCCGGGAGGGGATTGGTCCTGCTCTCCCTCCCTTTCCCCGAGCAGCCCCTAAGCATGGCAGGGCCAGCAGCTTTAGAAACTAGGAGTCCTGCCTTTGGGAGAACAAGAACGGGCAGGGTGCCCTGGGATCCCGTGTGTGCTGGGCGTCCGAAGTGGCTGCCCCCGAGGGAAGGGCACTCTGGGCTCTGTGTTCCCCTGTGTTTCACATGCTGCTTCTCTCTCCCCCAGAGGCCCGCTGGCATCTCCTACAGGCAATTTGAAGGCCTGATGCGCTTCTACAAGCCCCGGATGAGCGCCGGGGAGCGCTATCTGACTTTCAAGGCACTGAATCAGAGCAACACGCCTCTGCTCAGGTGAGCAGATGCCAGGCGGGGACGGGGTGGTGGGACAGGCCTTCAGGAAGGCGCCAGAAGGTGGTGGGCAGAGGCTTGTTAGAGACTTTGGTTTTCTTCACAGAGATTCTTAGACACAGACCGTATTTGTGAGGATTTTTTTTGCCACTGACAAAAGTTCAAAACATACACACACACACACACCCGGCACAGCCTCAAAGCACTGGCCCTGAGATCTCCATGGCAGTATTGGTCTGTTGGACTGCTGATGACCCAAACTCTTCTTTTTGATTCAGAAAGAAACAGGCCAGCTGCAGAGACGAGTGAGCGAGCTCCGTGTGGGCTGAACTCTCAGTCCCAGTTTTTCCTTTAAGTCCTCTGCTGAAGGAGGCTCAGTCCCTGTCTGTCTAAGAATTGTAGTAATCCAGGGGGATTGGAGCTGTCAGTAGTCAGTGTAGACTAAGTGGATTAAGTCTTCATAGCATCTGGAGGAAGGAGAGTGAATGTCTGCAGGTAAGGGTCCCCTGGGCGCTGATGTGCTGGGACTCTCAGATGTCCCCTCCCCCTGCCTCCCTCACCCCCTAAAGTGACCGCAGGCAGGCGAGTGAGAGGCCTGAAGCTCAGTGGGAACGTGTTCTGATTTTTTTGCCTTTTCATGTTGCCTGTGACAGCCTGAAGGACTTTTATGATATCTACGAAGTCGCCGCCTTGAAGTGGAAGGTGCGTGCTCTTGTGGGACCAGAGCGGGAGCGGGTAGACGGCTCCACGAGGGGATGAGACCAGGAGGCGCCCGGAGGTCCGGCTCCTTCCCTGCTAGAACAGCCCCTGGCCCCGCATCTGCCCTCACATTTGCCGTGTAGTGTCCTGGTTAAGAGCTCGGAATCTCAGTTAGACCCCATTAGTCACTGTGTGACATCAGGCAAGTTATCGAACCTTTCCACGGCTCATCTCACCTGGGAGATGGACCACAGGAATCCCTACCTGCAGAATTATGTTCAGGATTATGTAACAATAATGCGTGTGCATGGCCATTTCAATGCTCAGTAAACATCGGCTGTCTCTGTTGTTATTGAGATCCTTGAGGGTTTTCCTTGTTCCCCAAGTTAGCCGGGCCGGCAGGGAAGGAAAGCGGCGTCCTGGCCCCCAGGGCTAGGTTCTGGTCACTGGTCCTAACGCGCCCTCTCCTGTGGCCCTGTTTCCTGGCCAGGCCAAGAGAAATCGAGAGCACTGGTTCGATGATCTCCCTAGGACAGCATTCCTCATCTTCAAAGGTAAGTTGACCTGAATGTGGCATCTGGGCAGCTGGGGACACATAGAGGCTTCCGGAGGGCACAGATGAGCATTTGAAGAGCGTGCTCCGAGGGTGTGTGTGTGCGCATGTGTGTGTCTGAATGTCTGTGTGTGTAAAAGAGACAGAGAGAGTGTGATTACCCCAGCAGGGAAATAAGTGTTGGACTAGGAAGGAAATCGGTAACTTAAAAACCAAACCAAGACGTTTGTGGAATAGATATTCATTGAAGAAAATTGACAAAGTGAGATAATTAGAAGAAAATGAAAATTTCTCACCTGGAGATAACCACTGTTAGTTCTCTGATGCGTTCCCTTCTATTGTTGGTTATTTTTCTGTGTATTTTTAAAACAGGAGTGGGATTACATTAAATATTCTGTTCTGAACCCTGCCTTTTTATCTAATAATGTATTTTGACCATCCTCCCGCAGCAGGATGTACAGTTAGAATGTGTGATCCCCTACGTAATGCTTGCATAGTATAAAATTCAAAATTTTTAAATCGGAGTGCCTATATTATTTACCTAATAGTTGCCTCGTCATTTAATGCCATTTGTGAAGTTCCACGTGGGGGTATGGTTACCTCACAGGAAGGTCTCGTGCAAAAACCTGAAGCCTGGGTCTGGGCTGTTATGAACAAGAGTCAAGTATTTTGTGATTTCTCCCACAGCTAGGGCTTTGGGTGCTGCTGTTATTGCATATTCTTTAGAGGGTTTTCCATTCCACTGGGTGATAGTTACTCAAGTGGATGAATAAATAGTCCAGCCCAGGGCCAGCAGCCATGTAAGTTTCAGCAGCAGCCAGCACGGCTTTGCTCTGCTCCGTCCCGGCTCCCCCCAGAGCCGCTGTTGTCAGTGCAGTCTGGTCCGGGGTGTGAGCAAAGGCGTGTGTGTCACTCTTAGAGCAGGCCCTTCCCTTTCACCCCGGACGTAAATACCCTGGTTGCTCACATGCGTGAAGTGTGTGGTAGGGGAATGTGTACTTGCATATGCAAATTTCAGTGTTAACATTTCTTCTCTTCAAATAGGAATTAATATCCTTGTGAAGTCCAAGGCCTTCCAGTATTTCATGTGTAAGTGAAACATCACAGCGCTAGGCCCCTTTCCTCCCGAGTCTTTTACTGTTCCAGAAGGTGAAGAGGCAAGAGATTCGTCCTGCAGCCATGTTGTCGGTTCTAGAAAATTCCACGCGTGTGTAACAGTAGAGAGATTATAAGGGGCATCCATGTACCCGTCACCCAGCGTCACAGTCATCATCTCACGGCCAGTCTTTCTTGCCCGTCTGTACGGTCACTCTGGCTCATCATCTCCTCTCTAGACCTGGAGTTTTGGGAAGCGAATTCCAGAACCACAGAGTGTGATTGGTTCATATGTCACTGAAGTCTGCTTTAATCTGTAGGCTTCTCTTCTATCCCTTTTCTCTCTCTTGCAGTATTTAGTTGAAAAGATAGGATTGTTTGTCCTTCAGTCTTGTTTTTGCATGTTCCTCTGTGGCTTATTTCTGTAATTTGGTATATATATTTGGTATATATTCAGTATATATACTACTGGATATATTTGGTATATATCTATTTTGTTGTGTTTAGAGCTGTGTTGTCCAATGTGGTAACCACTAGCCACAGGTGGCTATTTAAATTTAAGCTAACTAAAATTAAAAATTCAGTTCCCCAGTCATAATAGCCACATTTCAAGTGCTCAGTAACCACATTGGCTAATGACTGCCAATTGGACAGCACAGCTGAGGAGATTCGATTGTCACAGAAAGTTCTCTTGAACAGCACTAATCTAGAGGCTTGATTGGATTCAGTCTCTCTAAGAAGCTCCGGTTCCATTTAATGGGAAATGGTGTTTAGAGACCACAATCTGAGATGCTAGAGGTGCTCATTGTTTAGATTAGTTATTATTTCTAGGCCTTTCCATGGACAGAGGTAGGTTTTTGGTTTTTTAAAGATAAACTATATTGTAAGTTTATCCTGATATTTCTAATTCAAATTCAGGACTATAGGGTTTTTACCTAACTTTATCCTTCTTTCATATCTAGATTCCAGGTCTTAAAATCCTGGTTCCCAGCAGCACTAACACGATTACTCATTTGCTTTATCCCACAGTACACACACAATAGTCTCTGAGAAACAATGTCAGCACAATCCCAACAAGATGAGTATTAGAAACACCACTCCAGGGATGTATACCGAGATGACTTGAGGTTCCCTGGAACAGTCCGTCTGCATGCGGGAATGTTACCAACCCACTGGATACACATTTAGGTGTCTTTATTTCATTTTATTTTTGACTTTTAGAGATTACTTTTTACATTTGATTTTGTTTCATAATTATATAAAATATTTATATAGTTCCAAGTCAGATCTACAAAACAAAGTTATTCAAGGACGTTTCATTTATATCCTGTCACCTCCCATAATGAGTAACTTTTATTATGGTCTATCCTCCCATTTTTTAAAAACTATAAGTAGATGCATATATATGCGTATCTCTGTCTTAAATAAACGATGGCATACTTCACACACTTTTCCCCACCTTGCCTTTTTCAGTTGACAGTATATCCTGGAGACCAGTCCATGTTACCAGATGGAGATGTTCCTCTTTTCTTATAGTTGATAGTACACCATTTCATGAATGTATCGTAGTTCCTTCACCCAGGCCCCTGCTGATCATTTAGGTTTTTCCTAGTGTTTTGCTGTCACAAATAGTTCTTCAGTGAATAGCTTTCAGTTTACTTCATGTTGTGTTTTTGCTAGTGTCTCATGGGCTGGGTCCCTAGAAGTGGAAGTGATGGGTGAAAGGCCAAACACATATGCAATTTTGCTAACTAGTTCATGCAGTCATTTTAAAATCCGATGTCTCCAGGGAAAAGCAAACATTTTCAAGACTCAGACCCTTTGCATATTGTTCATCTTTTACACTGACTTGGAATAACCTGTAGGTTTTACTGAAACATCTTAACTGGTATCCCTACGGTGACACAGAGGGTGTTTTTAGAAATCCGTAGCTGTTTTCTAGGTGAAACCACGGGTTGATTTAGCTCATGGTAAAAGCACTAAGCAGAGAGAAGTCACCTGTCACACGGGCGTGTGGAGCAGCCCAGCCCTCTGTATCCCCCAGAGCTGCTGGGTGTTAACCGGAGCTGCAGCTGTGACCTGTAGATTTCCACGCGCTTCCGTGCCTTCTCTGTCTATAACGGGCCTGTCTGTTGCAGACTCGGTGGTGGCCGTCAACGGGGTCTGGGTCCTCGTGGAGACCTTCATGCTGAAAGGTGAGCCCTGGCTGGGGGACTGGCCCGTTCCCTGGGCACACCTGGCCTGCCTCTTGAGCCGCGGCCTCGCTGTCTTTCAGGCGGGAACTTCTTCTCCAAGCACGTGCCCTGGAGTTACGTCGTCTTTCTGACTAGTAAGTTTCTGACTCGGCTTTGCTGAACGGCTCGTCTGAAACGCTGTGAGAGCTTTCATTTGGTTTAGGATCTCCTGCTTGTCTCTAAACCAGGGAAGCTTCATGAGAATGGAGTAGAAGTTGAGTCTGATTCCATCACGCCCCTGTGTAAAACTCTGTCGTGGTTTTCCACTGCCCTCTGATCAAGTCCCCCTCCTGGGCGTCACTCACGCCGCCCGGCCGCATGGAGCCCCACAGCTTCCTCTTCGGCCTCATCTCTTGCCAGTACCGGTCCCCTCGCCCACGCTGCAGCTCACCTGAACAGCGTCCTGCTCCCAGTGCTCTTTCTTACCCCTGGGCCTTTGCACGGGTGGTTTCTTCTGCCTGGTGCACTCATCCTTTGCCACACCGCTCTGCCTGACATTCCTCTCCTCCTCTTACGTCTAAACCTCCCTGAACACACTGCGTCATCATTGCCCAGTCATGTCTTTCCACCCGTCTGGACTCTGAGCTCTGTGCAAGTGGGCGCCAGGCTGTGCTCTCACTGTTGCACACCCAGCACAGTGCCTGGCACGGAAGAGGTGCGGGAAATGTCCGCTGGACGGACAGACGTATGGCTCGGCCATTCCTAAAGAGAGGGAGGGAGTGCTCCTCTTCTCAAGCACGGCGCCCCGGTTGACCAGCACTGGGCCAGGCCCTGTCCCGGAGCCTGCACTCTCACGGCAGCATGGGTGTGACGTGGTGGGCTGGAGGGCGCGGCCTGCAGGGGAGGCTGGAGACCTCGGGAGAGCCTCAGCCGGGAAACAGAGCCAGGCCAGGGTGGGGCCGCTGCTGACTGCCCCCTCCTGTCCACAGTCTATGCGGTGGAGCTGTTCCTGAAAGTGGCTGGCCTGGGTCCCGTTGCATACCTGTCCTCCGGATGGAACCTGTAAGTGGGGAGGGTGTTTCTTAACCACATCGGAGACTCTAACGAAAGCCACGGGGCCTTTTGCTGCGCACCCACGGCACACTCGCCGGCTCTGCGGTTGCAGAAGGAAGGTCTGCGGACAGGTCAAGGCTTCTGTCCCGTGGAGTGATTCTGGTGTGGCTCACGGACTCCCCAGGCTGCAGCTCTCGTCTTCCTCTCTCAGGCCGCCCACGCCAGTCCCTCCTGGACATGAGGGTGCCTGGACATGGAGGGTGCTTAGGCTGCAGGCTCTTCCTGAGTCATTTCACCCCACACCATCCCCCGCAGCCAAGCTCTTTTCTCCATAAAAACCACGACGCCCCCAGAGAAGGAAGTCCCACCCCTTCCTCCGTGAGCCTCGAGCTGGTGGCCCTCTCCCCGACCCACCGAGGCCTCGAGAGGTCACTTACGCCCCGTCAGGTTAACTCACCGTGAAGTCAGGCAGCACTCACGAGGTCTGGGCTCGAAGGAGACAACAGGTTAATAAGTAGAGAAGAGCCCAGGCAGCGCCGTGGGCCGTGCCGTGCCGTGTTCAGGGTCTTGTGTGTCTGTGGAGGAGGGAGGGGCCCTGTGTCTTGAGCAGGGCCGGCTGGTCTCCAGGTGGGAATCCTGCCTGCCCATCCTGCCCCTCCCCTCAGTTACCCCATCAGGGTCGGCGTCTCTGGTGTAACCAGATGGCTGTTGTTAGACCAATGCAGGGCCTCCAGGAGGGGGTTCCAGGCATTTCTGCCCCAAGGGTCAGAGCATTGAGGCCTGACCCCTGAGATGTGCTGTGACTGGGGACCCGGCCAAGCCAACCTCAGAAACCCCAGGACACCAGAGAGCTGCTTCCCAACCTGGCTGCCCGTGGGCCACTGCTGGGCACGCCATTGCCTTCACTGGGGTTGGTGTGTGGGCCTCTTGGAAGGGAGGGAGCGCTGAGAACCGGCTGGGGAGGCTGGCAGCGGGCCGAATGGACCCAGCTTCCCCCTCTCCCTTCTAGGTTCGACTTCTCTGTCACCGCGTTTGCCTTCCTGGGACTGCTGGCTCTGGCCTTCAACATGGAGCCCTTTTATTTCATCATGGTCCTGCGTCCCCTGCAGCTGCTGAGGTGACCGCGGCAGGGCTGGGGTCGGGGAGAGGTGGGTGGGGGAGGGCGCGGAAAGCATCGGGACTGGTCTGGGAAGTGACTGGAATGAGCCAGAAGACTCACAAGTCTGGGGTCAGAGATGCACGCCCCTGCAGAGGCACCCTGGGGGGCTGCTGTCTCCACCTGTGGGGACGTGTGGACCACCCGCCTCCTCCCATCCCTGGGGCCAGTCACCCCGACTTTGGAAGAGAAACGCGGCTCAGGTGAACTCGGCCTGCAGTGGTGTCAGCTCAGCCACAGAAACACACGTGCTCAGAGTCATAAACCAGAGAGCACAGCCTCTGAAGGTCCAAAGGGACTTTCGAGAGACCCCTACCCCGTCCTTTTCTGGCACAGCCTCATGTCAAGAAAACCCCTCATGTGGTCCCCCCTTTTTCCCCGGGGGCCATTATAGGAAACCAGTAAAGCAGTGCTCCGCGGATGGTGTCCCTTGCTACTTAGGGGTCTTGAGCTCTTAGTGTCTTCAGAAGCCTGGTTTTCCTCTCGAACATCTAGCTGCCATCCCATACGTGTCCATCGTCCCACCCCGTCCTTGCTGGGAAGAGAGGTGGAGGTGTGGGATGGGGCCCGGGGCGGCCGTGGAGCCGTGGAGCCGTGGTGGGGGCTGGGCCAGGCCGCGTGGATGTCAGCTTCCCTCCCACGCACTGCCGGCTCCTCTGGGAACAGGCGTGGGCTTCTGTTCCCATCTTCCTGGGGTTTGCCACACTGCCTTGGGCGAGGCCTTGTCCCTCTCTGAGCCTCCCGGCTTCATTTGTAAACCGTGGTGAATAGCCACTGCTACCCCTCAGCCGAGGAAGAGACAGGAGACGCGGCGTGGCTCTGTGTCCCTTCAGGGAGGGGATGTCCAGCCCCGATGTCCTGGCACCACTGCTGCCCCTTCGCAGCTGCCAGGCTGGCGGCTCCGAGGGAAGTGGACACTCGGGTGGGTGGGAGGCCCTGGGCCGGTCTTCTCTGCCTGGTGCCGTGGAAGGTGGGCTGCAGCCATGCCCTGCGTTGTAAGCGACCCGGCCTCTTCCCTCGCCCAGGTTGTTTAAACTGAAGAAGCGTTACCGCAACGTGCTGGACACCATGTCCGAGTTGCTGCCGCGGATGGCCAGGTACCGCCCTGCCCCTTGGCCCAGGGCCAGGCGCCGTGAGGCTGGTGCCCCCGGGCAGGTGGCTGGGTGGTAGCAGGGGGAGAGGGGGAGTCCCGAGAACGACTGACGTCGAGGGTCTGGCGGGTCTTGAGGAGACTGAAACCTGGACCACCCCAGGTCTCCCTGCACCACTTCTCTCCACTGACCTGTCTGACATATTGCGTAGGGAGGGCAGGGAGCTGTCAACTCACTTACCACCTGTGTCTACATTCACAGGTAAGGGGTCACCTGTGAGTCTACCTTCACAGGTAAGGGGTGAATCTCCAGTAAAGGGGCATCCGTTACTAGAGTCCTGATTCGAGCCGTTTTTACCCCAGACCCGAATCACGAGGCCCCTTCCCTGCAGGCACTTTCCAGTGGTGAACCTGGCTAGGGGCATGCGTCTCCCTAGTCAGCTCAGGGGGTCAGAGGATGCCGGGGCTGCGGCAGGAGCCGGGTCCCCCAGTGGCCCTGAATCACCCTGTCCCTTTCGACCCTCCTCCCCAGCCTGGCCCTCACCCTGCTCATCTTCTACTACTCCTTCGCCATCGTGGGCATGGAATTCTTCTGTGGAATCCTCTACCCCAACTGCTGCAAGTGAGTGTGCCGCAGGGCCCCCAGCCCTGACGGCCCAGCAGGCTGATGTCCGGAGGCTCAGAGCCAGGATGGCATGCCGACCCCGCCGCGTGGGTCCCCTCGGCCTCGGACACACCTCTCTAGGCCCACCACCCTTGAAAGCCCGGGGAGTCACGTTGCCTTGCTCTCAGGGCTTAGATCAGTGTAGTAGGTGGTGAGGGACCTGCAATCAGAGGGTTGTCTCTGATTGAGGACATCTGAGCCAGTTTCCCGTCCCCCAAGCAGGCCTAGGAGCCGCACTCCAGCCAGGCCTCGGTCAGCTCACCCTGTGGGCTGAGTGCTGAAGGCCACTCCAGAGCCAGGAGTAGCCTGGGGCCCGAGGCCTGAGGCCCCTGGCTCCCTCCCGCTTCTCTCTGGGGTGGCTGGGGACCTGGGCAGACACACATCAACCAGAGGCAGCCTGTTAGGGTAAGACAGATGGACACACACAGGGAGGTCTCTGGGGGCAGGGACACAGAGTGGGGAGCACAACCTCCCATGACCTCTCCTTTCCCTTCTCCTCACTCCTCCTGAGCCACCAGACAAAATCACAGCATTCTCTTTAAAATGCCCTCCTTGTGGCCTCAGGCACTGACAAAGACAGTTCCCAAAGACACCGGAAGCCATTTTGAGTGTCAGGCTGAGCTCAGACCAGAGCCCAGGGCAGCGGGTCACAGACCTGAGAGTGCGGCAGAGGCACGGGAGCTGCGAGGGGCTCAGGGCTCTGCCTCTGAACGAGCTCCCTGGGGGTCAAGGACCAGACGTGCAGAACTGTCCGCGTAGATTTAGCAGATCGGCCGGGGAGGACCAGAAGGACGGGAGCAGATAAGCTCTCAGGACAGGGCGGCCTGTTGGAACACACAGGCTGGGTGCTGGGGAAAGCCCGGCCGGCAGCCTCCGCTGCCCAGGTTGCTGCTGGTCCGGGACTGGGGAGGGCTGGACGAAGCTCTGCCTTTCTCTCCCCTCCCAGCAGCGCCCCCTCGGGTAGCTGAGAGGGAGGGGCCTACCCGGCAACAGAGAAATGCCGAGTGGAGGCGGGTAAGGGGGCCAGGTCTGGGCTTCCCACCGGCGCCCAACGGGCGGGAGGAGCCGAGGGCTCCCCTTGAGCCAGGAACGCGGGCAGGAGCCGGGGGGCTGGGCAGCACACCTGGCTGGACAGACGCTCCTTGGTCGGACCTGGGTTTGCTTAAACGTTTTGTCCCCTGTCGAGGTGACCCATTGCCCTGTGACCTTCCCTTCTGCCCTGTGTCTCCCCGGCCAGCACGAGTACAGTGGCAGACGCCTACCGCTGGCTCAGTCACACCGAGGGCAACAGGACTGTCGTGGAGGAAGGCTACTACTATCTCAATAACTTTGACAACATCCTGAACAGCTTTGGTGAGTGCGCACGTCACAGGCGGGACATTCCCTGGGCCTGTGCTTTTGCCACCGCAGGTCCCAGATGTGGCACAGCAGGGCTGTCTGAGGCCCTACTGTGTGCCACACTCTCTCGAGTCCTCTCCGGCCCAGAGGGAGCCTGTGGTTGCCCAGCCCCAGGGGTGCAGTCCCGGCCAGGTCCCAGGGCTCACTCGGCCACCAGATCTGGTTCCTTTTTCTGATACTTTTTCAGGATCAGAGAGCAGAAAAGCTTCGTGCTTTGCTGGGGGAGGTAGAGCCCGATGCTAGGGCACCACCCACCTTGTTACAACCCCGTAGTCGCAGGGTGGGACCCAGCCACACCAGCCTGCCACGGTGCTCTGCACTGCCCCCAGCCCAGGCCCACACAGCTCTGCTCTTGGGTTCCATGGAGGGGATCGGGGGGTCAGGGGGCAGAGGGAAGTTGCCCTGCCGGACAGCTTCTGGAGCCCCTCCTGGCATCCCAGATCTACACTGAGAAGGTCTGGGAGCTCCTTCCGCAGTACCCACCCCAGCCCTGGTCCATCACGGGCCGCTGCGGCAAAAGGCATGTCATTTTGAGGATGGGCCAAGATGGCAGCACTCCCTGTGGAGCAGGCGCTCAGGGAGGGCCTTGGCTGGTCTTTCTGGAGCTGACGGCCCAAGCTGGCAGATGGGGAAGCCATCATTTAGGTGCATGGTACCCAGGATAGGCGGAGAGAGGCCACTTGAAACTGACTTCGAAAACGTGGGTCTGAGCAAGACACTCTCTTTCTCCCTTGCCTTTGGCAGTGACCTTGTTCGAGCTCACAGTTGTCAACAACTGGTATATCATCATGGTAAGGACCTCCGTCAGCTCCTGGGGCATCTTCCCCCACCCTCTGAGGCCAGCTCCAGGTCTCCGCTCGCCCAGTGTGGGGTGCATTGCTCTTCTCATTCTCTGCCTGGGTCACGTGGGGTTGGGGTTCTGCAGGGAGGCCACATACGGGTGGGGCCCCAGGAGCCACCCCCTCCACGTTCGCTGGACTTGGCTTTTGTCCCTGCACCCTGCACATGCCCCAGCGGCCAGGAGATGCCAGTTAGCCTCTGGGTCTCTGTCCTCCCGCCACTGTGGGAGAGACTTTTCAATCAAGAAACAGCGTGGCAAGGTTGTTCGTTTGTTGGGTTTTTCCCCCCATTCCTTAAACTCCTCCAAGTGCCACCCCTACTTGGGACAAAGACCATCCGTGTTAGTCCTGGCGAGCGTCCAGGCCTTGTGCAGCACAGAGGAATTTTCAGACCCAGGGGAGCGAGGTCCCCTCCTCTACCTCCCACAACCAAAGGCAGATCAGGAAGGGACCGTGACGAGCCGGGCGATGCCAGGGCCACGGGCAGCCTAAGTAGACGGCAACTAGCCCCCCCGGGCGCTCGCTCACTGGCTGCTTCCCTGTGCCTCCAGGAAGGCGTCACCTCTCAGACCTCCCACTGGAGCCGCCTGTACTTCATGACCTTTTACATCGTGACCATGGTAGGTCCCGGGCCACAGACCGCTCTCCATCCTCCGTCTGCAGAGTCTCTAGCTGCCCCTGCTCACTGGGCGGCAGCCCCGGGAGGAGGGGGCTGGGGACACGTCCGACCCTGCTCTGCTGGGTGTGGGGCCCTGCAGCAGCTCACACACACGCACGCGCGCACACACACACACACACCCCCCCACTCCCTCTCCCTCGCTCCCCCTCCCTGTGCCCCGCCAGGTGGTGATGACTATCATCGTCGCCTTCATCCTTGAGGCCTTTGTCTTCCGGATGAACTACAGCCGCAAGAACCAGGACTCGGAAGGTCTGTGCGAGGAGCCGGAGCAGGCCGGCTGGCTGTCCAGTTCACCTGTCTGCCTGTCCACCCTTCTGGCAATCCAGCTTATCTCTCTGGCTTATCTTCCTAGATCTCTCATTTGCATTGATTTTCAAATATTCAGTGACAAAAAAAATGCTCTTGATCTCATTTTTAAAATAAAAACATGTCAGAGATTAAGAAAAATCACAAGGCAGAGGCGGGCTGGATGTGAACATAGCAGCCCTTGGTCCCACCTTTCCCGTCTCTCGGAGTCCTGTCCCTCTTAGCTGTTTCTCCTTTTAGTTATCATCTCCACATTTCTAAATAGCATGCTCGTACTACGGTTCTAGATTTAAATGGTGTGAATATTGTGGACTGCAGAGCCCATAGGACTTCCTTCTGCAACCTGATGATCCCGGCTTTAATAATCGCCTCACTTTTTCCAGGTTGCATAGCTTTCCACGTGCTGATCATTCTTTCTAGATTCTCCATCGGAACTGCCACATGCCTATTATTCCTTGTTTCCAAATCTCTGTCATATCAGGCTCTCTGGCTATTTTCTTTTTGCTCAGAGACTCCTTCCCGACCCCTCTGTCCCATGTAAGCTGCTGGCCTGACAAGCCTCCTGGCATCCACAGCAAAGGGAAGGAAGGGACCTGAGTTCCAGACGGCAAGAGGTGGGGGGGGGTGTGGCGCTGATGCAGAGTTTTGCTCAGAGAGAGAGCCTTAGGACCCCTGTGGGGGCAGTGGGGAGGATGCCAGACTGGGGGCTCTGAGCCCCAGGCTCCTCCCCACCCCCACCTCCCTCTTGCAGTTGACAGCGGCATCACCCTTGAGAAGGAAATCTCCAGAGACGAGCTGGTTGCTGTCTTGCAGCTCTACCGGGAGGCGCGGGGGGCCTCCTCGGACGTCACCCGGCTGCTCAAGATCCTCTCCCAGATGGAGAGGCACGAGGTGAGGAGCCACAGGGCCCCGGCTGCTAGAGGGGGCGGGTTTACTTAGTGCAGTCCCTCCCCCACCTTCATCCCCTCAAGTTCAGGTGACACGTTTGGGTGACACTGTTGAAAAAGCCAGAGGAGCAGGCGAGGCCTGCTGAAGCAGGGCTCCAGGGCCCTGGCACGGGTGGGTCCCTGCAGCCTCTGCTCTCCTTCAGCAATATGCCGTGGTGTTTCTGGGACGGAGATCAAGGACCAAAAGCGATCTGAGCCTAAAGATGTACCAAGAGGAGATCCAGGTAGGAGCAGCCTGACCTCCCTCCCAGCTCCTGCCGGGGGGTGGTCCTCCCCGCAGCTGAGTGGGGGCTGCTCTCCCATCCCCATCTTGAGTAGTGGAGGAGGGCTCGGTGGGGAGATATGGGATTGTCGGTTGAGACCACTACCAGTGGTGTCGGGGACTCCGGTTTGGGGGTGGCGGGCCCTCGGGGCTCAGCCTCGAGCCCTTGCCCTGTTCCCCTACGTGGGCAGCTCTCCTGTCTGGTGTTTTGTATATGTCAGTGCCACGGTGCATTCTCCAGAACCTCATCTTAATTTCTTGCTCTGAGCTGGAGCTGCAAATGAGATGCGTCCAGCAGGCGACATGACAGGCAAGGGGGGCGTGGGGCCATGGTAAGCTGGCAGGGACAAGCCTCTTCAAAGACCGCGGCCTCTTCCCAGGTCCTGCCAAACATGGGAAGAGGCTCTGCTGCACCCAGGTCTCTTGGGTTTTTTGACTGTTGGTTTTTTGGTTCTAATTTAAGAGAAAGAAGTCAAATATTTATTTTTCAAAATTTCCCAGTCTTTCCATGTTGGTAACTAAGTCAACTGTTTTGCAAAGCACCACGTGGGCTGACACTGTGCATTCCAGACAGAGACCACGGACGTGGGCCCCAGGCTGGGAGATCTGCGTTGGGTGTTCCCTCCACCTTGGGGTCCCAGGGCTCAGGGAGGCTCTCCTCGCCAGCCATCGTGACTGTGCTGTTTTTGAGCATTCTAGCAGCTGCAAAGCCTCTGTTTCTGGGACAGTGATGACCAGTGTCCACGCCCAAAAGGCTGGGAGGCTGCAGTACCCTGAAGTGACTCACACAGTCTCTGTAAAAGCACCAGGCCTTGTAGTCGGTGTTCTTCGGGCAGACACAGTGGCTTGCTGAACTGGTGTTGCAGACATGGGGTTCACAGGAGCTTTGGTGTCATACAACCTGGGTTTGGTTCCTGGCTCTGTGACCTTGGGCGAGTCCCTCAGCCCGTTCACATCTGTGAAAGGGGGCAGCGTCTGCCTCGAGAAGCAGAGGAGACTGTGCAGGAGCACGCACATGGGCGCCATCCTGTCCTCTGGCCCCTGCCTGTCCGTCCCCTCCCAGCCTCAGCTCCCCGCTCTGTAAAGCGAGGGGGCACAGGACTAGGCCGGCTCAGTATTTTTCAAGCTCTAAAGTTCTGTGGTTGAGATTCTTTCAAAACATAGGGTATATTTTTAAATTCCTTAATTACATGAATACCCGTGTCCCTGAAAATGTCAGATGATACAACAGTAACGGTCCTAGGTGGGTGAGCTGTGTAATTTTTTTCAAAATGCTTTCACAGCCTTAGTGGAGGGCAGCAAAAGCAACGTGGGAGTTGGAAGAGGCACTCAACTTCATCTGGCTTTATATAGCCTCTGAGCCTCAGTTTTCTTGGGTACGAAATGGGGACACGATACCTGCCAAGCTCAAAAGGGATAGCACGGGGGATGAGGGAGACATCCCGTCGTGAACAACAAAAGATGAGGTTCACTAGGAAAGGATGGTGACTACTACTTCATATGTGCCAAGCACATTTGACAAGGAGTTTTGCAAACCTCTAGTTAATGAGGGGAAGATTTCACTGCAGTTTTTCCCTTTGGGGCCACGTTCAGAATTCTCAGCAGGTCCGGGGGTTGGGGGACCTGTCAGTCCCATTGGGTGGGCTGGCAGCCCTGCCTCCTCCACCCCCAACCCCGACAGGCAGAGGGGGAGGTCCCGGCACCGCCTGGCCTGGTGACCTGGTCGGGCTGGGGGAAGCGCAGGGTTGGCCGGGAGGGGCGTGGCCCGCTCAGCACCCCCTCTGCTCTCTGCTCCAGGAGTGGTACGAGGAGCATGCCCGGACGCAGGAAGAAGACCAGCATCAGCTGAGCGGCAGTGGTGTCCTTGTCACCCGGCTGCCACCAGGCAGCCGCCTGCGCTCCCAGACTGTCACCTAACCCCGCACGCGCAAGCCATCTCTTCTATGCAATAACACAATAGTATTATTTTACTACGGTGTATCGAAATAATGTGCGTGTATATATACACACACGTATTCATATATATGCACATATTTATATATAGTAAAAGGAAAGACAGACAGACGAGATGGGGTGTGGTTTGTAACCACCTTGCCCTGTCTTCCTTAACCCCAGAAGTCAGTTGGTTTGGGGGGGTCAGGCCAGTATGAGCTCTTCCCAACATGGAAAGTTCCAGAAGGCCCCTCCAGAGGAAGACCACTTGAATAGATCTGCAGGGCTGGCCTTCAGGCGGCCAGCCCTCCCTGGGCCAGACCCACACCGTCTTCCCAATGCTGCTTTCAGACCCCCAGCCCAGCTTCCCCACGAACCTTCCCTGTGGCCCACGTCACGGGGTTTCCGTGTCTTGCTTTAGGGACAGAACCACTTAGGAAGGAAAAAACCCCCATCCTTGGGGGTAGTATTTCTATATTTGTGATAATGTACTAGAACGTTCCTTTGGGGGACCAGTGCCTTGGCCCTAATGGGGATACTAATCAAGGGGTGTGATTATGCCACGTGGTCAGATCTCAGTGAGCCAGTGCTGGGCAGCGAGATCATGCTGAGCAACTTCATGTCCTGCTCTGTAAGCCTTCTCTCCCACACTTTCGGCTTCAACTCTTGTTGCTGAAAATCCTCCTGAAACGGCCTCCTTTGGCATCAAGGCCCAGCGAGAGGAAAGCAGGCAAGAGGCGGGTTGATGGCTGCCACCCAGACTGGACCCTGAAATGGGCTTTCTCCACTAACCCCTTTTCCTTTGATTGTCCTGGTCAAGCAACAAGACATTGTGGTTAATTCAGGATTCTGCTCAAACAAAGCAGATCCTTCATGTGTGCATTAGGTTCCGTGGTTGGGAACGGGAGCAGAGAGCACAGATGCTCCCCGCCCGCCGTCCAGAGCCCTGGGGCTGACCCTGTCGGTCCACTGGGCCAGCTCCCCTTCACCTCGGGCTGTTGCCCTCTGTGGACTCGACCCACCCCAAGGTTCTCACTAGCAGAGTGGCGGGTGTGGAGGTAGGTTCAAGGGGACCCTCAGGGCCCCGAGTTCCCCTGGCACCACGGGGAGTTCCGTGAGATCAGAGTGTGGTCCGGGTTGGCCCTACGCATGAGTCAGGGGCAGGCCGTGGGGGCCGGCCGCCCCAGCGAGCATGTTGGTGATGCAGCAGAAGCAGGTCAGAGCGGAGGAGGTCTGGTTCCGCTCCCCCGGGCTGCAGACCCAGCATGGCGTAGGGGCCAGAGGACGAAGCAGCCCCCACAGGGCATACCGGTCCCCGCCCAGCTGCCTCCGCGCCTCCAGGGACAGCTAGGTAGGCGGGCAGAGGTTCCCCTGGCCACATCCTCCTCCCAGCAGGGCAGGGCCTGTTCCGGGGGTGCCATCCCCAACTCCCCCATCCCCTCTCCCTGGCCATCTCTGAGGCCCAGCCTTCTCACTGCAGCCCAGGGGACACTGCACAGCTCTGCCCTCAGCAGGGGAGAAGTGGTGAGCATTCCTATTGGTAAAGCACAGCCCTGTGGGGGAAACAGCGAATCATTGAGGACCACTGAGATTCCCACGCGATGGGGATCAGGACACTGACGTTGTTCTCTTTGTCTCTGGAGGGCCACTCGGGGAGCCCCAGGCCCGAACCCCTTCCCATCTCCAGAGGAGGAACTTTATTTGCACAGTTGGTGCCTTTAGCTTTTGTGTATTGAAACGGGCATTTGGAAGCAGGAGTCAAGGGGCAGCTTCTAAAGGGGGTGCGAGTCCTCCGACCTGAGTGTCTGGGCCTCAGTCTAGTCCCTGGAGAGTTGACCCCCACCTCTCATGTGAGGGCTGGTACAGGAAGGGTGGAACCCAGTGCGGCCCTCCCAGCCCTGTCCTGAGGGAGGCCCTGGTTTTAGCCGGGAAGGGGTGAATGCAGCGTGGCAGTAGTGCTGATGGGCCCTTGTCACTGAGGCTAAGGACAGCCGTCCCTGTGGGGTCACCCTGGGCCGCGTCAAGTTGACCCTCAACTTGCACACAGGCCCACCGAGCAGGGAGCGGGTGTCACCCAGGGCTGTGAGGGACCAGGGACCTCCTCCCGCTCAGATGCCTCTCACCTCCTTTGTCACAGCTGAGTGAAGCCAAGGTGAGACTCACCGACGTGCCCTGGCTCACGCAACCTGTCGGTGGCTGTGATGGCGCTGTGCCCCTGCCCCGCTTTGGGGGGGACGCCATCGGGCCCCTCCTTGCTTCCCTCGCCCAACCCAGCCTTACTCCACACCTCGCGACAATCATTTTGTACAGAGAGCGGGAGCAGCGCTGTAAGGTTTTGTACATTGGTGATTTCTCACTTGGAAAACCCACTGTCTCCCCGATTTCTGGCATATTAATAAAAGAGCCTCTGCTTTGTAGATGTGGCTGCTGCCTTGTGACTTGTGCCAGGTACTGTTCTGCGGCTTTGGGTATCGCGGGGAAAGGGGAGAGGTCCTGTCATGGCCATTCCTAACCCCACCTCAGCCCCATCCCCGGACGAGCCACGAAGCCCAGAGAGATCAGGCCCGAGAGCCTTCGGCCCTGGAACCAACCCCCTGTCCCCTGGCCCAGGTAAAGAAGAACCGTCAGACCTGGGTGTATGTTATTGTCTGCACACTTGGAGTATTTAATCATTTTTCATTGGAAAAAAGAGTTGAATCCCTTTATGCTGGCGTAAGGCAGTCGGGCGAACGGAAGAGGTGCGTATTGAAGAGGCGGGTCACCGATGACAGCAGGAAGGCACTGGGAGCGCTCATTCTGTCCTCTCCAGAGCCTGCAGGCACTGGACCCCCGCCCGGGGCTCCCCCTGAGGTAGGCACAGGGCAGAGGCAAACTGACTCCCATTTGCAGCTGGGGAAGCCCAAGGGGCACAGAGGAGATGCTGACAGCCAGCAGACAGTTCCAGAGGTAGAGTCGAGCTACGCCGTCCAATGTGGCAGCCACGAGTGGGGCCAGGGCCACGTGCTGATATTTTGGAGCCGTTGGCTTAAATAAAATATATTACCATTAATTACACTCGTTTCCTTTGGCTTTATTAACGTGGCGACTAGAAGATTCAAACTTTGGCTATTTCTGTTGGATAGTGCAGCTCTAGAACTCACGCTCATCAGCCTGAAGCCCACGGCACACAAGGTGTTCTGTCCACCGGGGCCCAGCCGCCCTGACTCCCCGAACCGGTTTGGCAGCCTTTTGAGTCCTGAGGAGAAGGTGCAGGAAGCAGGGGCGACAATGGGGAGGGGCCTGGGCCTCCACTGTGCCTTCAGCCCTGAACACTTTGGTCTTCCAACACGGGCCTGGGAGGCATCCAGTCACCCCCTAAGCCCCCAACCCCAACCTTCAAGAGGCTCCGGAGAAAATTCAAGGAAGCCTGTGGCTTCTGTCTGGAACTCTGTCCCCTGCGAAGCTGGTCTCCAAGGTCCCAGGAATGAGGCTTAGCTTTGCTCCCTGCACTCAGCAGCCACTGGGAACCTCGAGCAGGGAGAGCGGCCCCACAGAGCCACACCCCATTCACGGCCAGGCGTGCCCGGGCTCTGCAGAAGATGCATCTCGCCGCCGGCAGTGACACCTCCCGACCACCAGGCGGACACGGCTTCACTCACACGCTTTTCAAGTGAATCACTCCGAATTCCGTGAGCAGGGCCACCGTGAGGAAGCTCACGTAGAAGAGGAGCAGGCAGAAGCCGTAGACCTTGTTCAGCTGGAAGCACTGCAGTGGGACCGAGACCAGGGAACAGACGAGGCTGAGGCCCAGGGCGCCAGCCAAGACCCACACCAGCAGTCCATCTGACTCCAGCTGCGGGGACAGGGGCGAGAGGGGAGAGAGGCCGGGTCACTGGAGCCAGCAGTCCAAGTGATAGTCGAGGGCCCCCGCCTGGGGCCAGGGAGGGACTTCCGGCCTGCGGCTGCGGGGCCTGCCCTGTGGGATGGCACCCCACCCTGAAGTTCCATGACCTAAGCCACCTGGCTTGTCATTTGTGATGGTGCCCTGGGAAACTAATGCAATACGTTCAATATACGTTACATGCAGTTGTTGAAAAATTCTCAAGCAACACAGAAAAAGTGAAATCGTCCCCTCTCCACTCCTCTTCCTTCAGGCTTAGCATTTGTCTAACATATATCGAGGACTTAACACTCGGTGCCAGGCTAGGTGTGTCACACCTTCCCAGCGTGTAAGGGGAGCGTTATGGTTGTCGCCAATCTGCAGATGAGGAAACTGAGTCATTAGTGATGGAGCCCAAATCGAAGTCCCAGCTCTTAACCAGCACCCTCTCCTGCCTCCCCATACGGTGACATGTACGTGCACATGTGTGGGTACACATGCTCATGGGCCTGTACAGCACTTCTGAAACCAGAAATGGATCACACCACGCGTATTTAAGAGCAACCCGTGTTTTGCACCCAACTCCACGTACATCCTTCCACGATAACCTTCCGTGAGGCCCTCAGTCTTACGCAGTTACCAGCAGGAGCATTTCGTAAACTCAGCACAAAGGCAGTGGAATGCAGGCAAAGGCACACACACACACACACTCCACAAGGAACAAGGGAAAAGAACGGGGCCCTCAGGGAGCCAGCCCTACAGCCTCGTTATCTGGAACTGCCTGAGAATCGATACCGAAAGGAAGCTATTAAACCCATGAAGAGTATAAACAAAATTTGCAGATGGTGTTTATCTTGTAGAAAAGCAAACTTTTCAGGCAGTAAGTAGCTATTTGCTTATGGGCGTGGCCACTGTGAAAGGCTGGCCTGGCTGCCCCCGGCTAACTACAAGTCAGCCACAAGAGTCTATTCAAGACCCGGAGGCCTCCTGGAGAAAGGTGGGCGACTTGGTTCCCATTAATAACGCCACGGTTCAGCCGCACAACATTCCAAGTGCCTTCACGTGGTGGGCCCTAAAACCATCCCCTAGGCCACATCCCCCTCCTCATCTTAATTTTTCAGTTCCATCTCTGAATTCAACTCCTTCAGAATACAGTTGCCCTGACAGGAAATGCAGATTTGCGGCCCAGGGGTCGAATCTGCCTTGCTGTTTGCCTTGTGCGATATTTAAAAAAAAAAAAAGTTCACTAGGAATCCTGATTTTTCCTTCTCTAGAAAATCTGGAATATCTGGCCACAGGAGGGCCCACTGGAATCGCCCACACATTTTGGTTACCTGCCGGGCCCCGCTAGGTGGTTGAGTTTTCCACCTTGTTAGAGGAGTGTTTCTCAAGGGTCCTACCTTCCAAGTCCCCAGGGAACTGGTGTTAAAATGCAGATTCCCAGCCCCCACCCCCGGGGATGCCTGGGTCAGGAGGTCTCATGCGCCCCCCAGGAGATTCTTGGGACCCTTGAAGTGGAGAACCTCTGATACTCAGTGTGTTTCAGAACCTTCTCCAGATCTCTTGGGCACCCCTTCTGCAGCTGTCTTCAACAGATGGCGCCTTTATTCTCTCTCATCCCAGCCCGTCCCTGTGGGCAGTGTTGGGACAGGTGTTCAGCCTGGCCTTATCTCATGCACACTCATCCAGGAGCACGCTTACCCACTTCATAGGTGAGGAAACTGAGACTCAGAGACGTCCTCACTCACTCAAAGTCACAGAGCAAGAGACTTACATGATGGAACCAGGACTCAATCCAGGGCCTTCCCACCCTTTCCCCTGAAGCTACTGCTCCGTTACCCTGTGAACTTGTAAGGAAGACTTTTTCAACCCCATATGCAAACTATTTTTAAGACAGTCTACAAATCAGACTTGTCACAAATTCAGATGAGTCCCCTCCCCAGGACTTACACAGCAGTGTAAACTGCTGAGACGTGAATGCTCTCCGTCCGGAGGACCGGGGAGGAGGAGGAGACGACATCATAAGGAGGTCCCTGGCAGACGCAGCTGGCTACTCACCTTCACCTCCGTGTGGCCCCTGGAGATCTGGAGCAGGCAGCCCAGCCCCACTCCCACCAGGATATCTGCAGCCCAGCTCAGGAAGTTTGCTGGAACCACCGCCCCATAACCCCGACCACACGGCCTGTCAGCTTGCTTTATGATCTGTGCCCCCTCTGGCACCCCCCACAAAAAAAACCCCTGTCTGAGGAGACCCTCCCGGGTGTTAGTGCCTCTGAGGAGGTGAGTGTCCAGTGTACACTCTGCACTCAGTCTGTAAGGATCCAATGAGGTGGCAGAAATGCTTGGTACCTGGTAAGCACTCAGCAGCTGGGGAAACTGAGGCTGGGTGAGGTGAGGTCCACTGGGGAACTGGTGATGGCCCTGAGTCAGGGCCATCTCTAGGGGGTGCTCAGAGGACAATGCTCCAGGCAGGGCTCGCTCCTTCCCACCCAACTGAGGTCAGGAGAGGCCAGCCCGAAAGCCGGGGCAGCTCCCAGTGGGCACAAAAGGGCAACAAAGCACCCCGCTCAGCCTGGGAATTACAAACGGCGGCAGGCCTGCATGGTCCCGGCCAGTTCTGTGTTCCCCCAGCCGGCTGCCTGTGCTGCAGCTCACCCCGCAGGCCCTCTCGGTGTGGATCTTGGGGAGAGCTGCGCTTGAAGTGCTTTTATACCATATTTCTCCATTTCACAACCAACAGTATCTACTGCTCGTTCAGTATCTGCCGTGTGCTGGGCACTAACGTTGGTGCTGGACCTCATCCTCAGTCTCTACCCCAACCCACTCTGCATTCACAGAGATCGCCAAGTAAGATGTGCACAGAGCCCCGGGGTCACAGAGCTGGCCTGAGGCGGTGCTGGAACCAGAGCCCTGTCTGGTCTGAAGCCCTTTCTTCTTCAGTCCAGGCCGCCTGACCGCGTTTTTTCTATATAGACCAGGGGGCGGCAAATCACAGCCTGCGGGCCAATCTGGCCCACTGCTTGCTTTTATAAATAAAGTTTTATTGGAACAGAGTCAGGCCCATTCCTTTACATTCTGCCTGTGGCTGTTTTCGCACTACAACAGAGCTGAGTAGCTGCAAATCAGATCTCATGCCCCACAAAGTCTAAAATGCTACTCAGCCCTTTAAGAAAAAGTTGGCCAACCTCTGACATCTATAGACCATGACAGCTGTAGGGATGGAGACCAAGAGGGAGAGGGTCGGGGCCGGCCCGGAGGCGTAGCGGTTAAGTTCACGCGCTCTGCTTCAGCGGCCCGGGGTTTGCGGGTTTGGATCCCGGGTGCGGACCTACACACTGCTCACCAAGCTATGCTGTGGCGGCATCCCACATACAAAATAGAGGAGGATGGGCACGAATGTTAGCTCAGGGCCAATCTTCCTCACCAAGGAAAAAAAAAAAAAAAAAAAGGAGAGGGTGTTCCAGAGGGCACATGTCTGCTAATACCACTGCCCTAACAGGAAGATCTGCCATCCACTGAGCGCTCACCAGGTGCCAGGCATTTCTGTCACCTCATTCAATCCTACAACAACACTTACGAGGTGGGTCCTCTCAATAGCCCCATTTTACAGATGAGGAAGCTGAGGTCCACCAGCCGTCGCCTGCCCCAGGTGTTACATACAGCTAGAGCCAATACTGGGTGGGGCGCAGAGCACACCCATGGCTCTCAGAGCCCGTGCCACCTGCGCTGAGGCGAGGGCAGCCCCACAAAGGATACTGAAGATGATGCCGCCGAAACAGGCCGCGAACGCCATCCGCGGGTAGCCCTGGCGGGCCAGCGTGAAGTCTGAGAAGGCATCTGCATGGAAACGAGAGAAGACCTTGAGTGGTCAGAGGCTTCCCCCGGCCTCCTTGGTCATTCACCCCTTCATTCTTACCCACAGTCATTCAGTCAACAAACATTGGTGAACGCCCACCTGGGCCTTGTACTAGATGGCTGGGTGCCATGGCCACAGTATCCTATAAGACACAATTCCCTCCCTAATTCCTTTTAGCGAGGGAACTCTTTCCCAGCAGGGGCAACTTGGTGGGTGTGACATGCCACCACCCATTTTTCACCCAAGTCCCATTTGCTGTTGGCACACACAGCACCTCTGTGCAAATTAGAAAAAGGTACCCAAAAAGACGAGTGGAAGGAGAGCTAGATTTTGGCCCCCTGACCCCTTGTCTGGATGCTCTCGTGCAGCGCACAACCTAGCCAACCCTACTTGGCCACTGTCGCTAAAGAAGGATATATGTATGTATGTGTGAAGGCCTACACATGTCACACACCCATGTACACATCAGCGTCGTTGGCTGCAATGGGCTCCATGTCCTGCCTGAACTCTGGGGAGCCACCGGGTGTCCACACATCAGAGAGTGGGGAAGACGCTGGGGCTTCTACAGAGTCTCCATGCCCAGGGGCAGTCCAGGCCATCTCACCCCGATGCCCAGTGATGGTCACTCCAAAACGACAGTGGCCCTGAGCACATGCTGAGGGCAGATGGCATGGACGCCCCTGCCAATTCCGGCTGGGGGAGCCACGAGCAGCACCATGTGGCTGTGCGCATCCCAGAACCCCACCCGGCCCCGAGTCACCTCCGATGCTGTTCCCCCAGGCCAGCAGCGTGAGCCCCAGGACAGTGTTGCTCAGCCGGAAGACCACGCCCAGGGACCGCAGGACGTTCACCACCTCTGTGGCGGCCGCGTTGATCCACAGTGCGCTGGTTAGGAAGCCCAGGAAAGCAAAGAGCTGGGGAGGGAGAGTGTGCTGATGGGACCAGGGCCGGCCCCCCAGGGACTCAGCCTCGGGTGCTCGTCTGGAAAACGGCACAACAGCAGCACACAGGAAGTGCTCGATAAACGTTAGCTCAACATTACCATTTTGTCGAGAAAGGGTTCATCATGGCTTTCATCAGACTTCCAGCCTATGGGCCACGTGCCGTCCCATCACCACAAAAGGAACTCCATCCCCATCAGCAGTCACCCACCACACCCAGCCTTCCCCCAGCCCCTGGCACCCTCTGCTCCCCCTTCTGACTCTATGGATTTGCCTCCTCTAGACACGTCATATACAGGGCCCTGTACAATATGCCGTCCCTGGTGACCAGTCTCTTAGCACGATATTTTCAAGGGGCCTCCATGTTGGAGCAGGTGTCATACTTCAAAGACTAGAAAGAAACACCGGCCGAAAACCATGCCTCTAAACCAACCATTTGCAGAAAATTCGACTCCCTTTGGGCGGTACATCATTCAGAATTTTTCAAAATAAGAACTACAATTTTTTAGCAATAAATAGTAAAAATTAAAATTTTAAGTCAACTTTTAAAGAAAAAGTCTCTGATGGAACTGCCTAAAAATTCCTCAGCACGCTGCCGAGTGGAGAGAACGGAAAGGGACACCCACAAAGACCAAACCGTTCCTCACTGGATCGCGGTCACTTGGAACCCAGTGATTCCTCGTTAATGGAGCGGAAATGTCTGGCAGTTCTTCCAAAAGTTAAACACACAGTTAACATGTGACCCCGCAGTTTCACTCCTAGGAATGTGCCCAGGAGAAACGAAAGCGTATTTCCAGACAAAAACGTTTACACCGACGTTCACAGCAGCACTATTCATAACATCCAAAAAGCGGAAACAGCCCAAATGTCCATCAACGGATGAATGGAGAAGCAAAACATGCGGTCTCCACACAATGGCATATTATTCAACCATGAAAAGGAACAGCTTATTGACCTGCCACAAGGTGGATGAACTTGGACAACATTTTGCTAAGTGAAAAAAGGCAATCACAGAAGGCCACATATTGTATGATTCCATTTATATGAAATTTCCAGAACAGGCAAATCTACAGACAGAAAGCAGACTGGCAGTGACCAGGGGATGGGGTGGTGGGATGGGAGTGACCACTAATGGGTGTGGGGTTCTTTTTGGGGCAATGAAAATGCTCTAAAATTGACTGTGGCGATGGCTGCACAACTCTGTGAATATACTAAAAACCGCTGAACTGTACACTTCGAATGGGTGAATTGTATGCTATATGAATTACATCTCAATAAAATAAAGTTGTTACCCCAAAAAAGGACCTTGAATGGGTACAAAAACCCTAAAAAATGGCTTTAAAGACCTGGCATTATGGAAAACGATTACTGGCCTATCTGCCCCAGAGGCGCAGACAAGACATCTGCCTGGGAGACCTCAGTGTCCCCCCCAGCTCGGAGAGTGCAGGATCCTTACCCAGTGAAGCCTGGGGGGCTCGCTGTTGGATGTGGCAAAAAAGGTCACCGCAGCCACGGCTGTGCCCGTGATCACCACCACGGCCCACACAGGGAAGAGGCCACCTATCTCATAGACGCCATCTGCAGAGGGACAAGGAAGGGAGCTGATACACAGCTTCAGCTCGGCACCTCCTCCTGGAGGCCCCCCCAGAATGACCGAGGGGACCTGGGGGGCAGACCCACGGATAAAACCCACCACACTCAATTGCTTGGTTGTAAGGTAGGTACCTCCTATGTGCCCAGCCCTGTCCCAGGCACTTCAGGGGGACAGAGAAATTAAAGACACAGCCCCTGCCCTCGAGTGACTCACATCAGAAAGAAAAGACAGACACGTGAAAAACAGACTCTCTCCAGCCTTTTCCCGTGGAACTAGGATGGGGATGGCCAAGACTCCTCACCACCATCACCCTCTCCCGTGCCCATGGCAGACATCACTAATCAACCACGGTGCTTCTGTCTGACTGAGCTTCAGAGACCACCGTCCAGCCAGGCATTCCCGCGGATGGGCATCGCTCCACGAGATGAAACCGCACAGTCAAACCCAGCCTGACCCACCGGCTCTGGAGCCCCGCACTGCTCTCCTGATAAGTCCACTCCCCACACCAGTCCACTCTAAAGTTATGAAGGTTCCAGAGGCTTCACAGTACAACACTCAAGGGAGGAAACCCTGCGGGCAGGCAGAACACCAGTCTGAGAATTCTCCTCACACCACCCTCTGCACCCAGGGAGTCAGTACTGGTCTTAAAGGCAATAGAGAGCGTGATTGTCCAGACAGACGCATCCAGACTTCCCTTGCTCTTTCGTTGGTCTAGCTCTTGGCTCTCAAACATCAGCGGGCATCAGAACTACACGAGGGGGCCAAACACACACAATCCCGCACACGAGACAGCAAGGGTGACTTTCAGGGGTAATTGTGACAGACCTCGGTTTTCACCTACAGCGCTGGCTGGGAACCTGACGCCTGGTGAGACCCCTCTCTGGATTCGCCAAGCCTGAGTTGCAGGGATTTTAGGAGGCGGCTGGGGCGTGGATGGTCAGGAGGGCTTCTCGGAGCACGGAGGAGGAGGCTGGGCCGTGAGCAGAGAGGGGTGCAGGGGCTCCGCGGGCAGATGGGAGAGGGGGGTGGGAGGGAGCTGAGCAGGTCTGTGCCAGCAGCGGCAGAGAAAGGGCTGGGGACACAGCTGGCTCGAATGACAGCAGGGGGACGTGGACTTTTCCCAAGGGGCGCTGGGGAGGCCTCCGAGTGGGGGAGTAACCACAGCCTGTGAAAGTGGCACTTTAGGAGGACGGCTCTGGGGGCGGCCTGGAGACGGAGGAGGCTGGGGGTTGGCGGTGAGACTCGGGCTCTGCTGGTGGACACGACACCCCCGGGCAGGGAGCTGAGTCTGGGGGTTCTCTCCATCCAGTTCTCAGCCCAGAAGGGGGTCACAAATGCCACTAGACGGTGTCGGGGCACGTGGACAAGACACTAAATACCACAGGGTCACATCTCAGGAAAGGGATTCCTTCTTCAACTCTCTGGCGTAACCAGGAGCAAGTCTGCACTGGGCGCTAACTGGCCTGCAGCACCTCTGACGCCAGCCAACGCCCGAGGCAACGAAGGCCCCCGGCTCGGATGCTTCACTTCTACGGCATTTATTTGTGCCGTTCCCTTGAATTTATTGGAAATGACGTCACTCTCCTATTGATGCAGGTAATACAGTTCCCTTTTCAATAAATTTAAGCTTAAAAACAGAGAGCTGATTGAAGAAAAATATCAGAGATAATAGTACAGAACGGGAGAAAAGTCAAGAAGATGGTTCTTGAGTGACTGATGCTTGAGATCTACTCTTTGAAGAAGCCACAAGGAGTGTGAAGGCAAGTCACTGGCCATAGGGAACCGACGGCGGTGACCAACCAGACAGCTGGCACCCCTAGGGGGCGCCCTTCTCATCTCCAGGTCGCACTGTGCCCTGATGGTCTCTCTCCCCTCCCTCCGACTCTCCTTCCCTCGGTGCCTGTGTCCCCCATAAATCGGGGGAGAAACTCCGGGAACTTCACAGCCCCTTCATGCTGATGCAGTTATAGCAAATAACACTGCACCCAGCCAGAGCCCCACCTCCACCTCCAGGTGATAGCCCTGGGTTGAGGGGGAGGAGCCCAGATGACAGAAGAATGGGCAGCATGAGATACTAAAGTTAGACAATAGGAAGAACCTGAGCAGCAGAAGTTAGAGACTGGGCATTTCTTTAGCCAGAGCACGTCAGAAAAGCAAAGGACAGCCTGGGGCAGATGGAGAAAAGTCACACGCCAGTGGGGACCAGCCAGCCCACACAAACAAGTGAGGGAGCCCACCCAGGTCACCCAACAGGCAGTGGAGGGGCCTGTGATGATTCAGATAGCAGGCACCCCCATTGGGGGACGCCCCTTCTCAGCTCCAGCCAATCTGCCTCCAGGAATACAGCCCAATTCTTGAGAGGCCCAAATAGGGATTTTTTTTTTTTTTTTTTTGAGGAGATCAGCTCTGAGCTAACATCTGATGCCAATCCTCCTCTTTTGCTGAGGAAGACTGGCCCTGACCTAACATCCGTGCCCATCTTCCTCCACTTTATGTGGGACGCCACCACAGCATGGCTTGACAAGCAGTGCGTCCGTGCGCGCCCAGGATCCGAACCCGGGCCACCAGCAGCAGAGCTCGCGCACTTAACCGCTACGCCACAGGGCCGGCCCCCAAATCGGGATTTTGATGTGAAATCTCCAGATTTTTTAATGCAGGCAAACAAGCCAGAGGGCAAGACTCAGTCCAAGGGCCACTAGTTTGCAGCCTCCGTCAGGAACCAGCAAAACTGAACCAATTAACTGCAGGAGGCTGGCGTCCCTTATGGCACAAGCACATATTGAGTGCCTGCTGTATACCCAGGATTCTGCCGCTGGCCCAGGGCCCCCTGGCGTGGCTGAGGAGAAAACTCCAGATGTGGGGAGGGGAAGAGGGGCCGGACCGGGGGAGGGGATACTCACAGGCCCCCGACTGCAAAGTCAGCACCAAGACCAGGGGGCTGATCACCAGGTGCAGGCAGTTGAGGGGCCGCTTCCAGTTGCCATCCTCCTTGTCGGGGTCCATGACGGGGACGGTGAGGAGCAGCAGAAACTCCACGGGAAGCTGCCAAGGGTGCGAAGGCGGGAGGGTGTCACCCAGGTGGCCTGTGCCCGCCGGCCGCACCCCGAGCTCAGTTACTCAAGGACAAGGCTGTATGCTGATGCACCGCCCGTGTGCGGCCCCTAAGCGCCTGGATTGGCCTCCTCCTGCTGCTGTGACACACGGCCACACGCCGGCCGAGTGCCTTCACACCACACACGGTGTCCCCTGACGGTGCTGGAGGACACGGTCCTAAGACCCAGGGTCCGCAGGGCTGGGCTCCGTCTGGAGGCTCCACGGCAGAATGCGTGTCCTCGCCCTTCCCAGCTTCCAGGGCCCCTGCATTCCCTGGCTCGTGGCCCCGAGTCACTCCAAGCTGTGCTTCTGTTGTCGCATCTCCTTCTCTGACTCAGCCTCCAGCCTCCCTCTTTCCCTATAAGGGCCCGCGTGATGACAGTGGGCCCCCCTGGACATCCCAGGCTATTCTCCCCATCTCAAGATCCTTAATCACGTCAGCAAAGTCCCTTCTGCCACATAAGGTAACATCTTCATACCCGGGGAGCAGGACTTGTACATCTTTGGGGGGCTGTTATTCAGCCACGGCATCTTATCTGCTAATCCTGACAACGACCTGTGCACAGGAACTATTGTTCTCCTACCTTCCAGCTGAAACAACTGAGGCTCAGAGAGGTTAAGGAATTCTCCAAAGCCACACAGAAGGGCACATGCTGCTGGGATACAGGACCAGCTCTGAGTGACTCTGCACCTTGTGTTTTTGGCCAATGTCTAAATTAGTAATAACACTTATGGAGTGCTCACTATCTGCTAGGCCCCACACTCAGCCCTTCATACGTTAGTTTATGAAATTGTCACAACCACTGTGGTAGGCTGGATACTGTTCCCAATTCTCCAGTCCCTTCCTGTAACAGAATTAAACACCCACACACTTTGTCAAATGACTAGAGCCTGCAGAATCTATTTCCCCATCCCATTGATGTTGAACTTGGCCACGTCACTTGCTTTGGCCAATGGGCTGTTGGTGAACGTGAGGAGAACAGAGGCTTAAAATGTGCTTGTGAAGTTTGCCTTGGTATCTTCTGCCAAGAAAAGAGCAGACTCCCAAGGATCCACCGGCCCCAGAATGAGATGTGGGGCAGCCCTGAACCACCGACCACAGCCTATAGTCGAGTCCCCCAAATGACCCAGAGGCCCTTGAATGAGAAAATACATTGTCATCGTGAGTCAGTGGGATTTTGGGGGCTGTCTGTTACATAGCATTATTGCAGCAATAACTTACTAATACAAACGCCCCAGAAGAAAGGCACCATCATCATCCCCATTTTATAGTGGAGGAAACTGAGGCTCAGAGAGGTGAAGTGACTTGCCTGACGTCATGACGCAGCCAGAGCTGCTGGGGGGCACAAATATGCTCATTACTTGCCCTTGGGGACTGAGGAAGCCTGAAATGTATACAGGTTTCCAGATTATCTCAGGAGGAGATACAGCTGTGGGGGGAGAGCCCTGACTTTTGTGGTCCAGGTGGTGGAAGGCAGCCTCACGCAGCTGTGCCTCTCCTAACCCAGCCGGGGCCCCCGCTCAGAGCTAGGCTTCGAGACACTGAGCCCAGGAAGCGGCAGGTGATCAGAAAAACCCAGCCTTCTTCTCACTGGACCTCACCTTGACCCATCCCTTCCCCCAGCCCAGGTCCCCGCCCTCACCCAGCCCTCTCTCTCTGTCCCTGGGAAGATGCTCTCCCTCCTCTGCGGGGGGCAGAGCCCCAGGTCAGGCCCTCGGACGAGCTCTCTGTCTCAGCCTCCCCAGCAGGTCCCAGGTCATCTATTCCAGGAGGGTCTCAGCAGACCCCGGCCCCTCCCTCTCACTGCACTGGGGAAGGCTGAGTGGCCACTGTCCTGCGCCGTCACGAAGCCAGGAGCGGGCTCCGTCCCCCTTCCTACCTTGAAGACCTTGAGGGCCCTCCAGGACGCTGACTTGTTCCTCCACCTCCTGTAATCCAGGGGGTTGAGGGCCTGCACCAGGATCTGAGCAGTCGTCTCCTCGTAGAAGAGCAGCGGCCGGTACTCCTCCCCTGTGTGCACGAGGCAGGGACAGGCAGGTGTCCGGGGCTGGCTCGGCCCCCACGAACCCCCCCTCCCACCGGTCCCCCCAGTCCTTGCGAAGAAGGAAGCCCCAGTGGCTGGCAGGGGGCAGGCGGACCTGGCCCGCAGCTCCGCCGTAGACGGTGAGAGGTGAGGCTGGTTTGCAGCCTCACTCCTGGGGCCTGCATGGCCCATCGCCCCATTTCTCCGCCCCCAGCCCCGCCCTGGTCCCCCCCTCGGCTGGGCACAGGGCCCTGGACTCACCGTAGTCATAGCTGTTGGTGTTAGAAGACGCTCGATCCTCCTCGGAATCTGACAGTATCTCTGTGGGAGGGAGGGGCCTTTCACGCGAGCCGGCTGGGGAGCCCGGACCCTCCCCACGCCCTCCTAAGGGAGGGCAACTCCGGGAGGGGGCCGTGTGCAGGGGGCAAGTGTATCTGGATTTCTCAGCTCGCTCAGGAATTCTTACAGAGTGAAGAAGTCTAACTCACAAAACGTTTTCAAATGTAATGATGTAGCTTGACACTAAAGGCAATGAGAGCGTCTGAAGACGCACTTCAAACACGCACTGACTTCCGTTTTGCACCTTTCAGAATCCGGACCCATCCTCTTTCTCTTTTCCCGTCTGGCTTTTCTGGGGAGTCCTCTGGCATGCTTACAGGCCTGCGCCCAGCAAAGAGGGGCCTAAAGGGAAAATGGCCTTCCTCCAGCGAGGAGTCAGTGCCAGCCCTGTCTCTGTGTGACTCTGGGTCCCTCTCCGGGCCTCATTTTGCTCTTTTGTTCCAGCCTGATGGGCTATGATGGATCTAGAAGACACACAGGGGTGATGTGGGCTGAACTCCGAAGGCTCAGTGGACAAAGAGGGGAGGAGAGGAAAAATCATGGCAGGCTTCCTGTAGGAGGGATGTGAGAGGAAACGAGACAGTCCTGCCCTCCAGAAGCTCAAAGCCCATTAGCCAGACATCTAAGTAAATTAGTAACAGAACGGAGAGATAAAGGCTGTGCTGGGCTGAGTCAGGAAGCCGTGCAAGCCCAGAAGGGACAGCCGGGGTCTCCATAGCGCTCCCCCCATGCTGAGTCCTTACATTCTTCAGAAGAAGGACACACCAGGGAGAGGGGTCAGCATGTGCAAAGGCCCAGTGAAAGCCAAAGCCAGAGAGAGGACAGCATGTCCAGGGACGTGGGGTGGCTCCGCACAGCTGGGGCATGGAGTTGAGGCTGGGAAATGAGTCTGGAGAAGAAAGCTGAGGCCCAGCACCAATGGCAGAAGATCAAGAGCAAGGTTCTTGGGCTCAGAGGCCAAAAGGCGCCAAGCACAGACCCAGTGAAACAGGCGGATTTCCCAACATAATCAGGTCTGCAACCAACCCACCTCCATGTGGGGGGGTGACGACAGAGAGCGGTGGGGACTGGGGCAAACTGGAGAACCACACCCTGTGCTGAGAGGGACATTCAGCTCCACTCACTGTGCCAGGCAGGGATGGAGGGCTGGGGCCAGATCTGATGTTTCAAGAGAAGCCGAAATTTAGGATTTTGACATCAAATCTTTTCATTTTAAATCTTGGCCTAATTTTCTAAAAGAACACACTGGTCACACCACAAAAACCACAACACTTCTGCACATAAGAGGTGGTCTGTCGGTTCCCAGTGGTGACCTCTGGCACCGTGGGTACGCAGGTGGCCTTTGGGGTCTGGGGGCCCAGGGTTCGAGTCCCGGCTCTGCCCACTCCCTCGCCTGGCGAGGATTTAACCTCTCTGTTTCCTCATCCATAAAGGGAGAAAATACTAGTCTCTACCTGACAGCCTTACAACGATACGTGTGCCTAGCAGGCAGTCAGCGCTCGATAAATTATAGGGGTGTGCATGTTGTGTATGTATTTTATATTTGTGTGTGTTGTGTGTATGTGCTGTGTATATATTTGTGTGTGTGCATGTATTTATGTATATGTGTGTGTGTTGTGTATGTATTTGTGTATGTTTATTGTATATGTATTTGTATATATGGAAGCATCTGGATTTGACCCCGAGGGTAGTGGGGATCTCAGAAAGACCGCCCTGGTGCGAGCACGGAGGGGGAAGTGGGGAACTTGGAGTGAGGCCGCGGTGAGGGCACAGACAGGCCAGCCCCCACTGGCCCTCTCTTGGGGCTCAGTTCAGACCCTTACCTGGTGTCCCCGGCATGGAGTAGACCAGGGATCTCCTCCGCTGCCAGCGGTAGATCCAGGTGCAGAGAACCACAGTGACCACATAGAACACATACAAGCCTAGGTAACCTGCAGATAAGGGCGCACACCGTCACCAAGTGGCATCCTGGCTGCACGGCACACAGATCAAGGGCTGCCAGTTCTATTGCTGGTGCCTGTTACCGGTGGCTCTCTGTGTTAGCCCAGCCCAGTACCAGCAGGTAAAGGACCATGTCCTGGAGGCCACCCCCTCCTCTGCCTTCCTTGGCCCATCCTCCCTTCCCACCTGTCCAGCCCCCGCCCCCCACAATCCAGCAATCAAGGAAGTAATGCCTGGCACAGACAGTGGCCCCCAGGACCCTGTTCAAGTGCTAAGGGTCGTGTCCCGCTCCGTGTCCCGGGAGGCTGAGCCCTGCAGGCTGCATCCCTGAGCTCTGGCTGCACTGGGTTCCGTGATGGGAGGCCCGACAGCAAATCAGAGGGCAGCAGGAGAGAGTCTGGGGTCCTTCTTCCCTGCTCCCTCCCTGCTGGGGGGCCCTGTCTCTAGCAGGGCCCATGACCCCCCCAGGACTCGCGCTCATGCTGGGTGGCACTGGGTGCGGCCCCCAGCTTCACTAGGCTCCAGTCATCCCACTCCCTGCCCCTCAGCACCCCACTGTTGCTGGTCCCTGGGTATCTCCGCATCTCAGCACCCCCTGTGGGTTCCCTTAACCCTCTGCAAAATGCCCCCCGTCCACGTCACCTGAACCACCTGGATGGGCTGTGTATGCCGCCGGGACCCTGAGGGCTACATCAGCAACACGGCACTACGGCTTATTAAAATGTGCAGCTGTGAAAATTCTGAACATCGCCCCCGGCTCTGCCCTGCCCGCTTGGGTATCGGAACCCTATGTTCCCTTTTCGCTCAAGCCAGCTTGAGGAGGGTTCCCATCACTTGGAACCAAGGGTAACTCTGTGCCCTGCTGGCCACCCCCTCCTGTCCCTCCTGCGCCTCCCACCCATCAGCCCTGGGATGACCCTGCCGGCCCTGCGTCTGCTCACCCAGGGCCCACGCCAGGGTGACCCTGCCGAGGTAGAACGCGGTGAAGATCAGGAACACGGCCACCATGTAGAAGATGACGTCTCTGAGGAAGGGCCTGGAGGCGGCCGTGAAGGGGCGCAGGATGGCGATGCCGCCGGCCACCACGGTGGTCACCAGCACGCCCGCGCCTGGAGGAGAGGACGCCAAGGTCAGCGCCCCCTGCGCCCCCCGCCGCCCCACCTCCCCCAGCCGGGCCGCGCCTACCAAACAGTGCCCCCAAGGCCAGGCCGGCTGTGCGCGGATCCGAGAAGGCCACCATGGCGCTGAAGATATCAGGCGCGCCGTTCCCAAACGCCAGGAAGGTGACGCCATGGGGAGCGTGTCAAGGGGCTCGGTGCAGGGGCCCAGCCTGCCGGGCCTTTCCTGGGCCATGAGCCACCACCCTGTCTCCCAGCCACCCTCCCTGCCCTCCCTCTCTCCAGGGCGCAGCACCCGGACGAAAGGATACTGCCACGTTGTGGGACAGTTTGAGCGTGCTGGAGATGGCAGACAAGTTAGGGCAGAAACTGCGGAGGAAAAGCAGATAGTCAGTGCTTTCACGGTGGGTGGCCCCTGTCCCCAGCCTTCCCCTATAGGGTCACCCGAATGCCAACCTCCTGGGACTCTGTTTTCCCATCTACAGGCTGGACCTGAGCCCAGGGCCAAACTCACAACTTCTCGGCCGTGACTCCCAGGATCAGAAACAGATAAAGCAGCCAGAGAGCCTGGGGGCCAGAGAGGGGGCGTGAGGTCCAGCCGGGGCCAGCAGCCCCTCTCATGGGCTCCCCGGGGCAGGGCCTCACGTAGAGGGTGATGGCCAGAGGGAGGAGGTTGGGCGGGAAGTGGCAGAAGATGCCCTCGAGGTAGTCCAGGTAGCCCCCATCGCTGCGGCAGTCGGGGTTGGTCCGGACGAAGTCACAGCGGTCGGAGGCGTTCAGGCCACACACATCTCGACACTGCGGGAAAGGGGGGACATCAGGGGCCGACACCCCACAGGTGACTGGACCAGGCCCACCTAAGCAGCTGAAGATAACCTCCTTCAGCCTGGTCTCTAAGCCTCCCACCCCCTCCAGGTGCCAATGGCCCACTTTCATCTTTAAAAATAAACTTGTGTTTTAAATTTTATGTATGTATGTATGTATTGATTGATTGATTGATTGATTGAGGAAGATCAGCCCTGAGCTAACATCCATGCCAATCCTCCTCTTTTTGCTGAGGAAGACTGGCCCTGAGCTAACATCTATTGCCAGTCCTCCTCCTTTTTTTTTCCCCCGAAGCCCCAGTAGATAGTTGTATGTCATAGCTGCACATCCTTCTAGTTGCTGTATGTGGGACGCGGCCTCAGCATGGCCGGAGAAGCGGTGCGTCGGTGCGCGCCCAGGATCGAACCCGGGCCGCCAGTAGCAGAGCGCGCGCAATTAATCGCTAAGCCACAGGGCCGGCCCCTTGTGTTTGAAATTAACGCAAGTAATTTATGAATTCATTTGTTTAAAAAACAAAACAAACCAAAAAGAAACAACATACAGAGATTTCTAAATTCCCCCTTCTCATCCCTGCCCTCCCTAATCCCACCTCTCTCCAGAGCTTCCACCATGATCAGTGTGAAACGTACCCTTACACACATCTCTCAGTTCAATGACACCTGTATCTACATCCTATTATAGATTTTGTTTTACAGAAATGGATCCTCCCTACATCTCTTGTTCCTGCAATTTGCCTTTACCACTTCGCATATATGCCACACATTAATACACATGATGAAGAAAATAATATAAGTAAAAACATTCTAAGTGATTTCTCTATGCCAGGCCCAGTGCTAGGAGCTTAAAATGTATCTCAATTAATCTGCACAACAATCTCATGAGGAAGGTACTATTATCATGCCCATTTTACAGATAAGGAAAGTAAGGTGATGTCCCAGGGTGCACTCAGTGGTAGAGTCAAAGTTGGAACCCAGGCAGTATGAGGCTCTAGAACCATCACACCCCCGCCTCCCTGTAGAGTCTTTAACAGCAGCATAGTATTTCCTACTATGGGTGATACACAGCGGAGGTAACATTTCCCTACTGGTGGGCATTTGGGAGTGTCTAATTCTTTAATAACACCAACAATGAACTTCTTTGCACATGACTCTCTGAGCACGTGAGAATACTTTGTCAGCAAGAATTCTACAACTAAAAGTGCTGAGTCAGAGCATAACCTAGGCTGGGTTCCTCCAGAAGCGACCCAGAGACAAGGGTTTATCAAGTAAGTAGTCTATCTGGGAGGAATATGGAATGCAGGCTCCAAAATGGGGAACCGGGTCAGGGAAGGGAAGGTGGCCGTGAAGGCTGGGTAGTGACAGGCCCCACCCGGGGCTAGGGAGCTGGGGTATTTATACACCGACTCCATCAGCCATGGGGAGGACCGCTGGGGAGGGAGGTGCTAGTTCCCCAGTACTTCCGCCCACCAGGCTTATGGAAGGTTCTGGAAAAAATACTGGCAACTCGAAGTCCACAGAAGCCCACCAAAATGGTCAGCTCCAAAGGAAGTGGGTGGGGCCCTATAGTGTCTGTGGCACGGGAATAAGTGTCTTAAACATTGATGGATTCTTGCCAAAATACCCTCCCCTCCCCAAAGCTCTGCTCACACACACCCCACCAGCACCAGGAAACGTGTGATTCCACGCCCTCACCAACAGTGGGGCTACCGTCTTGTTCAGGCCAGCGTGGCAGGGATCTCCTTGTTAAACTGCACGTCCCCAAGTACTGGAGAAGGGCAGTGCTCTTTTCATGTGTTAATGGCCGTTTGTATTCCTTCTGTGAACTGCCAGGGTTTTCAATTGGAATGTTCGCTTTTTCTTACTGACTTGGAGTAGCTCTCTAGATAATGGATATTCGCCCTCTGTCATGTTCTGTCGCACATTTGTTTAGGCAATGCCCTCGGCCTGGAAGGTCCCCCTTTCCAACCTTTTTGTTTAAAAGCTTTGTCGATACCATTTCACATCCATTAGGATGGCTACCTTCAAAAAAGAAAATAAGTGTGAGGATGTGGAGAAACCTTGTGCACTGTTGGTGGGAATGTACAATGGTACAGCTGCTGTGGAATACAGTATGGTGGTTCCTCAAGAAATTAAAAACAGAATTACCCGGGCCGGCCCCGCAGCGAAGTGGTTAAGTGCACGCGCTCCACTGCTAGCGGCCTGGGTTCGGATCCCGAGCATGCCTCGACACACCGCTTGTCAGGCCATGCTGTGGCGGCGTCCCATATAACGTGGCGGAAGATGGGCATGGATGTTAGCCCAGGGCCAGTCTTCCTCAGCAAAAAGAGGAGGATTGGCATGGATGTTAGCTCAGGGCTGATCTTCCTCTCACACACACACACACACTAAAATAAATAAATATTAGAAATTCAAAAAATACATTAAAAAAAATAGAATTACCATATGATCCAGCAATTCCACTTCTGGGTATCTACCTCAAAGAATTGAAAGCAGGGTCTTGAAGAGATATTCCTACACCCATGTGCACAGCATTATTCACAATAGCCAGAAGGCCTAGAAGCAACCCAAGTGTCCATCAATGGATATATGGATAAACAAATTGTGGTACATCCATACAATGGAATATTATTCGGCCTCAAAAAGGAAAAAAATTCTGACACACTATACCATGGATGAACCTTGAGAATGTTATGCTAAATGAAATAAGCTAGTCACAAAAAGACAAATGTTGTATAATTCTAGTCAAATTCATAGTCACAGAAAGCAGAACGGTGGTTGCCAAGGGCTGGGTGAGGGAAATGTGGAGTCGTCGTTTAGTGGGTATAGAGTTTTAGTTTTGCAAGATAAAAAAGTTCTGGAGACAGAGGTGGTGATGGTCGCACAACAACGTGAATGTACTGAATGCCACTGAACCGTATGCTTAAAAACAGGTAAGATGGTGAATTTTAGGTTATGCATATTTTACCATAATTTAAGAAATAAAGGCTTTGTGAAATCACAGTTCTACTCTCTCCACAAGCCCTCTCTGAACTCCCACCAACACCACACTGGAGGGGAGATTTCTCATCTCTGAGCCCTCTGGCCATCTCCTCAACCTGGCTCACCGGCCCTTTACTGATGCAAATGTACCTATGTCCTGTGCTGTTCCTTCTGCCTGGCACACCACTCCTTCTTTTCCCCCAGTTAATCCACATTCATCCTCCAATTCTTAGTTCCCCACATGCTTCTTCCAGGAAGCCTTCCATGACCACCCCCAGCCTAGGTCAGATCCCCCAGTTGTAAGCTCTCATCACTCCAGGACTTTGAAATCCCTCAGTTATTTGTAGGAGCACAGATGGGGCACCATCTCACTCAGTCATCGTAACAGACCTAGGAGGCTGGTACAATTATTTCCAGGTTAAAGATAAGAAAAAGGAGGCACAGAGAAGCAAAGTGACTTGCCCAAGGGCACACAGCCCACCACTGCGAGGTGGTTTCAAACCCAGCTCTGCCTGAAAGTTACTAGCTGAAGCTCCTGGGGAAGCTGCCACACTGCGCAGGGGCAGCCTCCTCTCCCTGTCCCCCCCCTTCCTGCCCTCCCTCCTCCCGGTCCTCAGGGTCAGCCAGGGAGGACGCAGGCACATATCCCACCCCAGCTCACCTCCATCTCCCTGACAGCAGAGTGAGTCAGCAAGGCACATCCCCAGTCCTGGCCTCCAGAATCCCGGTCCTGTGCAGCCTGCCCGCCCCCACCCGGAGGCCATCCTTCCTCCGAGGCCCCAGCTCTCTGCCCTGGGGTGGCATAGTTCCGGAGCCATTGCTCTGAGTCTGGGGCGGGTGACTTTTCGGTCTCCTCCCACTCCATTCCCTTCTCATCCTCTTCCCTGAGTCACTAAGGACCCCCAGGAAAATACCTGGCCCTCTCCTGGCTCTATCACTTCCCTCGGAGCCAACTTCCCCTCCCTGAGCCTCAGCGTCCTCACCCACAGCACAGACAATCCCACCCACCTGAGGGGGCTCGGGGAGGATTGGCCGGGCTTGGCACAGGGCTGGCCCAAGCAATCAGTAACTCAGAGGGATTACCCGGCTCGAGGCACGGAGCACGCCCCGAGAGGCAGCAGTCAATCTGCTAACCACAGTAACCACAACCACTTTCCCACCTGTAAAATGGGTGTAATTACCTGTCTGCCTGCTGCGGGGGGGGGCGGGGGGGGCATGAAGGCTCTTTGCAGCCCCATAAACTTGACGTGGGTGCTAAAGACTCTTAGCCCATCGCCCGTCGGTTCATGAGAGAGGAGCTTGCTGTTCCATTCTCCCCGAAGAAAATACGTGGAGAGAACTCCAGCCCCTGCAGTGGAGGGGACCCCAGGAGTCATCCCCAGCAGCCCCCGCCTTCAGTCTCGCACTCCGGATCTCCGTCACCTCTCCTCCCCTTGCAGACAGCAGAACGGAGCGACACGAGTCCCCTGCAGCCGGTCTCAATGGCGCACACCCTCCCTGCCTCTCAGCCGAGGGTCCTCACTGCTCTTGCCCCCGTGCTCGCAGCCCCGTCAGCGGTACCACCACCCCCGCAGTCGCTAAGGCCAGAAATCTGCAGCCATCCTTGACTCCTCTGTCTCCCACCGCAACTCGCCATCTAATCCATCAGTATATCCCGCTCATCGTGCCTTCAACACTTATTCCAAATCCCACCACTTCCTTCCGGTCTCCCACAACCACACCACTGACCTGCAAGAGCCTGGGCCCCTGCTGCCACCCTCACCCTTCTCAATCCATTCTCCCCAGAGAAGCCAGACAGATCCCCTGAAGAAGTAAATCAGATTTTGACATCCCTCTGCTTAAAACCCTCCATTGACTCCCCACTGTTACAAAACAAATCTCACCTCCTAGCCTCAGCCTATAAGGCCTTTCATAATCTGGCCATCACTCTCTCTCCACCCTCATCTCTTAACACTCTCCCCTCACTCTGCCATTCTGGCCTCCTTACTGCTCCAGGAACACACTAAGCTTGTTGCTGCCTCAGGGCCTTTGCACTTGCTGTTCTCTCTGCCTGGAATGTTCTTCCTCCAGATGTCTGCATAAGTGGCTTCCTTTCTCCATTCAGGGCTTGGCCTGAAGATCACTTCCTCACAGATGCCACCTGTGACCACTCAATCTGAAATAGTTGAAAATACACCCTCTCCCTCACAGCCCCCACTCCCCAATACCACTTTATCCTATTATTTTCAGGGCACTTGGCATCTCCCCACCTGAAATTTACAAGCTTACTTCTTTATTGTCTTCCTGGGAAACTGTCAGCTTCAGGAGGGCAGGGGTTTTTCTATAATGTCCCCTTGATGCCAGCCCTGATATCAGTTCCCCTACATTAAACCCAGCATATACGGGGGGGTTAAAACCAAAAGCACCCATCCCCTTTCCCTGCTTCTCTAAATTACATTCACATGTAAATATCAGTTTTTTAAACCTTTGTATCCCTGAACTTCACAAGGCAAATAGAACTTACAAATTGTTAAAAGCCCAGGTGGCCTCATGCTGAAGTTTTGGCTAATTACCAGGGCTTGAGGTTTGTTACAGGGAAACTGATATCCAGAGAATATCAAGAAGCTAAGGCTTCCCAGACACTAACTCCTCAGCCCCCTGGCACCAGAATCCACCCTCCACCACAGAGACAGACAACCACGGACCCCCACCTGCGGCTTCCCCTACCTCACCACCCTCCTCCCTGCAAACAGCCTCACAAGGCCAAACGCAGGCTGATGGGAAGGCGCCGACCTACAAAGCCACAGCTCCCCTCCCGTATCTACACCCTTGTACAACAAGTTCTTTCCCATGGATTTCCCTTTAAAAACCCTAGTTATTAGCACTTCAGGAGGACAGTGGGTTTTGAGGCGCTGGCCTCTCACGTCCTCATTTCGCTAGCAAAATTAAAAATTACTTTCTTTTCCTCAATCCCTTGTCATTGTGTTCATTGATTTGGCTACGGTGACAAGGTCCCGGTTTTTCAGCAACAGGCTGGTTTACTGCCCTAAGGGGCAGCTCAGCGCCCCCGGCACAGAGCAGAGGATCAATAAATATTCGTGGATTGGATGAACACACCCCCACCTGATGCCAGCTTCCTGTCTGGGTACTCACGTCTACCACGGCAGTCTGGCTCACACCTGCGGCTGGAAACTGGGGGCTCAGGTGAGCCCCTGTAGACGGGCCCCTGAGCCCAGACACTGCCTCCACCATCAGCAGCACACAGCGCAAACTCAGCACCCAGCGCAGATCCTGCCGCCCGCCGGCCATCAGCCGCCACGGGGCCTGGCCCTCGCGCTCTGTAGCTTCCCCTTCTGCAGTGTTTCCGTTCCAATCCGAAGTTCCCCTTCTCCTTCCCTCCGCAGTCTGTCAGTTCCAAGCAGCCGGCAGCAAAAGCGGCCCGCAGGGTGGGCTGAGAAAAAGGGAGAACATCACTGAAGACCCCAGGACCCCAGCAGGAGGGGCCTGAAAACTTTGTCAGCTGAGGATCTGCCCTCCCTCCTCCCCCCACCCAAGGAAAGCCAGTGTAGAAACCCACACTCAGCATGGGGGTTCAATGGAGGGCCCCAGGGTCCAGCTCCTTCAGCATGCAGATCAGATACCCGCGTCTTCCCAAGCCCCCAATAGTGTCTGCATGGAAACCTAGGCCTCTCCTGCCTGCCCCACCCCCCAGCCTGAGACCACAACGTCAAGGCTGGAACCCACAAGCCTGAGGCTCAGAATCCAGAGATTCCTGCCTCCTGGGGCCAGCTGGGGGAGATAAATATGGGAAGTGGGCAGCGGTGGGGACTGCGCCAGCCCTCAGAACAACGAAAACATACTTCTGGGGCCATACTTGGCCTCTGGGCCAACCAGTCCGAGACTACTAAGCAATGTTGTTGTTCTCGGGCTTGCCGTGAGCCACGCACTTAACAGATGACCTCATTTAATCCCCGTGACTCGCCAAGGAAGCTACTGTTATGATTCCCATTTCACAGATGAGCAAACTGGGGCAGAGGGGGAGGCCAGGCCTGTTCCTCACTCCCAGCCCCTGCCCCTTGCCTCCCTCATCGGGTCCTCAGGACAATTCTGGAGATGTTATTGTCCCCAACCCTCTTACTGAGGAGGGAGCTGGGCTCAGAGGAGTTCCATAACGGGTCACAGGGCAAGGAGGTCACAAAGCCAACAGCTCCTTGGATGGGGAAACTGAGGCCCAGAGGGAAGTGAATTGCTCAAAATCACACTGTCCATTAGCAGCAGAGCGGGGCTGGACTCTGCCTTTTCCCTCAACACCAGGGCAAAACCAGCTTCATTTTTCTTCCAAAGAAATTAAACTGGGGGGGAAAAAAGTCCTTGGCACACTTAACTTCCTTCTTTTGGCTCTCCCACATGTTGTAGATGAGCATGTTTTATTTCTGCCATCAAGAAAAACAAAGCCCAGAAAACAACGACTTTTTTCGTAATTCCTTGCACAGATGTTTCTCAATGTCCTGGCAGGGGCAGGAGGGGAAGGAGGTCCCCGCGGAGGAGAGGGGACAAGAGCGGGCAGAAGACCCCTGTCCAGCACTCTTTCCTCACCTGTTGACCGACTCTTCCCTCTTCTGTCGTTCTCTGGAACTTCACCTGGCACGGACTGGGAACCAGACACTCCGGGTTTTCAATTCAGTCTCAGCCACTTATAAGCTGTGTGGCCTTGGGGAGGTCACTTCACCTCTCTGAGCCTCCGATTCCTCAACTGTAAGATGGAGACAAATGCTGGCCCGTCGGAGCATACAGTAAAGGCTCAATAAATGCTGGCCCCTCTGCTGTCCCCAACTTGAGGATCAGCACGTGTCTCATCTCTATTGGCCGCTGATTTCTTGTGCTCATTCGCAAGGGAGCATTAACTGAGCGCCTCCTGTGCGCCTGTGCGGTGCCAGGCGCTCAGACGCTAGCGAGATCCGCAGACCTGATAGGAAGGAGCAGGGGCAGGAAACTGGGGCTGCAATCCCATGTTCGGTTGCACGTTCTGGGTGCGGGACCCCGGGAACGTCAATGTGCCCGGTTTCCCAATCTCGGCGGATGTTGCGAAGTTGAATCCGGGTGCCCGGCTCTCCGGCGGCGCCAGGCCGCTGTCACCTCGGGCCGGGCCTCGGACCCGCACACTCCGAACCTCGACCCCCGGGCCTCGCGGCCTTGCCGTGCCCGCCCGCCCTTCCGCCCCGGACACCGTCCGCCCCGCGCCCCGCCCGCTGCTGCGTCCGGGGCTCTCCCCACGCTCGGCCCGGCCCCGCCCCTCCGCGGCCCCGCCCCCGGACACGCCCCCGAGGCTCGCCCCGCCCCTGCCCTTAAAGGCACAGGCTCCCGGGGAGGTCCCGAGGGTCGTCTCCACTCGCCACCCTCCTCCCCGTTCCCTGCGTGTGGGTTCTGCTTTCGCCGCTAAAGCAGAAGCTGAGATGGCATCTGATGGTAAAGACAGCAGGAGGCCGGAGAGGGGCAGATAGAGGGTGAAACTAGGGAGTTCTCTTCCCGAGGGAGGGGTGGGCGAGGCGGCGTCAATGCGCATCAATGGTGACAGGGAGTATTTGAGAAGGTCCCGGGTGGGGAAGGCCCCGCCTTACCCGCAGGTATTCCGGCCTGAAATGTCTCTGTCTGAGAGACCTCCCAATAGGGTTCAGCATTTCCTTCTAGCAGCATCGCTTTTAAGAGAATTTGGCAAAGAGGTCAAGACAAGGGAGTTGGTGATCCGCTGGTCCTGACGTCGCCCCTCCCCAGTTTCCCAGCCTCCTGGGGAAGTTCTGGTCTCCTCCGTCTTTCCTTCCGCTGGGATGGGGGAGGACACAGGGGCTGGCTCTCAGGGAGATGAGGCTGGAGGACGTCTCTTCCCAGAACACGGCTCCGGCCCCGCCCCCGCCCCACAACTGGCACAAGTCTGTCCCACCGCCTCTCTCTGTAAGTCGGCCCTGCTTCCTCATCACCTGCAGGACGGGCCAACTCTGAGCCTGCAGTTCCAGGCCCTTCACTGTCCAGCCCCAGCCGGCTTTTCTGACTTCGTCTTGTACCCCCACCTCCACCAGCTCCTGCTCTGGCCCGGAAGTGCTCCCTTTCCCTGAACACCCTGTTACTTACACACAGCCACACCTCTGCTCCTCTGAGCTCCCTGCCCGGGAGGCCAGCCCTTCACTTTTCCACCTGACAAACTCTGAGTCATGTGCCAGGCCCAGCTCACGGGCCACTGCCTCTGGATAGTCCTCCACCCTCTTCCCTGCACTCCACCCCCACTAACATTCCCCCCAACCCCTGCCTCCCCCACCCGGGTTCCTTACCTCCAGAGCATGCCTCTAGGTCCCCACTCTGGGATGGATGACATCGTGGTCCAGAGCATGATCACTTTGGAATCTCAGAGCCTCGCGTTTCTGTGTGACCTTTGGTAAACACTGAGACTCTCTGAGCCTCGGTGTCCTTCCCTGTAAAATGGGGATGATACTAGTACCTAGCTCGTGGAGCCCTTGCAAGATCAAACACAGCACAGCGTGTAGACCCCCAGGCCCCATGCCTGGCGCAGAGTAAATGCTCCCTCCGTGGAACGCACTGTTGCCACTATTATTCCATCAACCCTGCAATGTAGCCACTTACACGCCGCCGTGTGCCCCACCAGCTGGGAGCTCTCACAGCAGGGCCCAGGCCCAGCTCGTCACCATGTCCAGGCAGCCAGCACTGGGGATCCCACAGCTAGTGTCTGTGTGTGGGAATGACTGAGCCTGCTCTAGGGTCACCTGCTACCCAGGTCACCTGCTCTTGGGGAAGAAGCTCTAGAATTGCTGAGTGTGGAACCAAAGTCCTTCCCTGAGGGGCCCTGACTCTGGTCCTTGGGGGCCCAGCTAGAGTGAGAACTCTATGTCACCATCCTAGGTCACCTGGGCAGGCAGATCACTACCTCCCTGTCTCCCAGGGACTAGGACGGGGTAGGGGGGTGTTGGGGGTGGATGACTGTCTGTTGGGAGGTCCCCAGAAAGATCCAGGGGAGGAGAATCCCTGGGGACAGAGAGGGGAGACAAATGGGGCCTGGGACACAGCCCCTGGTCCACCCGGCTCTGGTGGACGGTGGTCAGCATTCGGGCCTATTTCCCAGTGTGGGAAAGGCCATTCTGACATCGAAGGAGCAGCCTGGGAAGTCACTCAGACCCAGGTTCAAATCCTCGCTCTGCTTCTTGACCGTGGACAAGTCATCTCGTCTTTTGGCGCCTCAGTTTCCTCATCTGGAAAACGAGGATAATAACAGCCCCTATAGGGTTGTGGTGTGAATTTATTGCGATTTCATATGTAAAACCCATAGCCTGCCGCCCAGTACTTGTAAAGCTGAATACACAGAAGCTGCTATTGTTATCATTATCATTATTGTGCTTACTGAGGATAAAAGGATACAATACTTGGCACACAGCAGGTGAAAATGTTGATTTCTCTTCCTCGGAGGGAAGAATTTCGTGCTTGTATCAGTTGTCTGTGGCTGCTTAACAAACCATCCCCAAACTCAGAGGCAACATGTTGATTACCTGTCAGGGTTTCTGTGGGTCAAGGACTCGGGGAGGGCTCAGCTGGGCAGTTCTGGCGCAGGTCCCCCACGTGGTTGCAGTCGAGTGGCGGCTGGGCTGGAGCGGCTGGGGGCTGCCTGCGCATTTCTCTCTCTTCGTGGAGTCTCAGGGTGTCTCCATGTGACCCCTCTGTGTGAGCGGGTCTCCGGGCTTCCTAAGAGCCTGCCTGCCCCGGGCAGACGGACGGCTCAGAGGGCAGAGCGAGGATCTGAGGCAGCTCAGGTGCCCGTGCAAGGGTCCCAGGGAACAAAGCAGAAGCCGTGTTGCCTTTTATGACTTAGTTGTAGAAGTGACATTATGTGACACAGCGTCACTTCCATCATAGTCGCATGCCTACCCAGATTCAAGAAGACACATGGGCGCTCCTCTCAGTGGGAGGAATGCCAAAGTGGCATCGTAAGAGTATGTGACGTGCGTGTTCTCGGTGTGACTACGTTTGGAAAATACACTCTGTCACCGTGCCTTAATCCACAGAGGTGACCGGCGGTGGATACTCAGGCGGCATGATGAGCAGCAGAGGGGAGCTACAGACTGGAGGTAGGAGGAGAAAGGACCCTCAAATCCCATTGGGTGGACAGCTGCCTACAATATCACATGTGGGCGATCCTGTCCTCAGCATCTTATAAACAAACCCCAAACCAATAAAAATAAATAATGATGATTTATTGGGGACTTACATTATGGTGAGGGTTCGCATGCTTGTCCCATTTAACAGCCCTGTGGGGTGAGGGCGGCAATGATCCC